AGTTTGGCTCGGATCGGCTTCCACCATCTCTTTCAATTCATTGTTATTCACCTGTGTGGACGGTCTTCCACGTGGTTCGTTCTTCAAATCAAAGTTTCCATCACGAAAGCGTTTAAACAAAATCGCACGGTGCGTTCATTAGCAGTCCCCTCTCCAAACGCAACATTGATATTGCGAGCTGTTTCTGCCGCGTTAGTTCCGCGTCGGAACTCGATTTCAAAAATCACTCGAATTTTCGAAGTATCCATCTTTCTTGTCTGAGCTGAATAAAAAAAACAACTGAACGTCGATAATCGAATGTTGCACATTTTTTAAAAGAAGAATTACATAGGTACCATGTGAAAAAAAGTTTCACTCAATAATCTCAAACCATGAAGATTCTCTGTCAATTCGAAGTACCTATTACAATAAAACGGCAATTTCATACTTTAACCCCTAATATTTCATCCACAGATTTAGCTAAGTTACTGCTTTATTATAGAATAGAATAGAGATCGCCCATTGAACTATGTCCACTTGGTTTTCTTTCTATTATGTAATGTAAAATAATGGTGTACAATAAAAAATAAATGTATTTGTAAATAAGTTCATTTGAAGTTAGAAGAAACTGGCCGTCGATGTTATAAATTAAAATTATATAATGTCCGGCAAAAAACACCTACGGCATTCTGGCAAAGCGAGGCTACGTTACTAGTATGATGAAAACAGGAGATTATTGATTTTTACATGCTGAATTTTTTAAATACATGCTTCGTACTTTGCTATACTATGTCAACACTAAAAATAAAAATTTAAAAAATAAAATAAAAACCGTCTTCAAAACAAAAAAAAAACACTAAAAAGTAAAAAACAATTATTGGTAAATTTTATTTACTATACAGTCGGTGTCAGCCGACACAAATTAAAGTACACTGTCTTCAAAAATACCTAATTTGGAAACCTACCTACCTAATTTCTATAGAAAATGAAAATTATCAATCAGTTAGTTCTTACTTGTTAGTATTTTTTTTGAAGTCGGTTTTTATTTTTTTTATTTTTTTAAGTTTTTTTATTTAGATCTTAATCATGAGGTAACTAACAGACATACAATTTTAAAATTAATATAACATGTCCTCAATATAAAATAGATACAGTTATTACTTTACTTTATCACTTACATACAAACCACACTCCCTCGCTTCGCCTTCGCGATTCATCTCTAGGTGACTGACAGTGAGTTATTCCAATCATATCATATAGTCATAGTCTATCTATCACCGGTATCAGCGTGAAGGAGTATCTACAAACTTTTGTACTTATAATAAAAGTAGTCCAGTTAATACTTAGATATTTTATTGATATCATAATTACAATACAACTAAAAGTACAATTCGTTTACTAAAAATAGCAATTCGGAGTGTCTATTCGTCGTTTGACAGGACAAATAAAAAATTATAATTATTCGTCCTTTAAAATTAATAATTAATAGGTAGGCTTAAATTATTTAGTCAGAGGGTAGTGTCTTTGTTGTACAATAAAAACAACATACTTTACATCTTCTAGCAGAACATATGAAAAGACATTGTCAATAAGATCTACGAGTATTCCTGGCGTAAATCTTGCTTTATTCTGAAATATAAATCTTTTGTAAAGAAATAATTATACTTTTAAAAACTAAAAAATAACGTGCTTCTTGCCAATTGTATTGTACGGAACTGAACATTGTATATTTTACTAACTCAGTTTTTGAACAGTTCTATTCATCACTCTTATTACGAATAGCTTGATACTCGTAGTATAAAATTATCGTTTTGATGTCAGGGTTTCACATTTATAAAGTTACTAGCGACTAACCGTCGTTTCGCTGAGGTGCGTTTTCGGTTTTTTTAAATGTAATTGTATTTTTGTACTTATATTATTTTATTAACAATGAGTTACTTCTTATATCTGAAAATCCTGTCAAAATCGGTCCAGCCGTTTCGGAGATTGTTATAAATAATTAGCGGCTCACCCTCGCTTCGCTCGGGCTAGTCACTAGGTACGTTTTAAATAGATATAAATAGTAATTAGCCAGCGTTGACAAATATTGATATTAATAATTATACGGTACTAACGTCATAATCATTCAATTGTTTTGCCTTCCCGGAACCTCTCCACTAACACTTAAACTTTATGGTATGGTATTAAAGTTCAAATTGACTTTTAAGTATTTATTACGAATCTTTTGTATGGGAGTATAGAAAAGTGTTGTTTTTAGACTTTTGTAGGCAATATTTTAAATTTTTCTCTCTGTAAGAATCGTCCTCGTACTTCAAGGAATATTCCAAGAAAAGAATTAGCGAAATCGGTTCAGCTGCTTTCGAGATTTGCGCTTACCAACACATTTAGCGATACATTTTTATATTATAGATATATTTATCGATAGCATAATCCAACTTTATGGCTCGTTTAAACAAATCACGACAAAAATATCCATCTAGCCTTATAGCGCCAATATGTTCGTCACTATAAATTAACATAGGAAATAGTTTCGGAATTACTTAGAAGTGATAATGTCTAACAGAATCAAGTTTCACTTTTATTTCCGTAGCAGCTTTTAATACTATTTTAAATACACACATATTTATAATATGTATGTATTTAAAGTTTATATATGTGTAGTGTATCAACTATCTGGTATCCATAACACAAGCCTCGTAGCTTACCATGGAACTAGACGGTGTTGTGTGTTAATGTCCCAACATATTTATTTATTTAATTCTCTCGTTATCCTTACATCATATCCATTGTATAGTGAAGGTCCAAAAGTTGAGTAAATATCCTCAATTCTTACACAAAATCTCCCTACATAATTAGGTATACTATGACTTTGCGCACTGATATGAACAACACTTATGGATAAAACTATTGGTAAAATATGTTTGACCTTGTTAACTGTTTGTTGCCATGGTAACCATTATTATTGTGTGACAAATGATATATAATATTATATTCTTTTCTTTCCATTGCGGCCACTTTTACATAGGTGAGAGGTATTTTATCATGCACAGAAAAAAATGAGCTTTGATATATAAATGATGAATATACACCATGAACGTATAAATGTAACAAAAATATCTTTAATGACTCGCAACCTCTTTTGCGGCCACTTTTACATAGGCAGACGTAGTACATGTATCAGGTACAGAAAAAAATTAGCTTTAATTTGATATATAAATGATGAATATACGCTATGAACGCATAAACGTAACAAAATATGACCCGCTTACATCTGACTGCGAAGAGGTGCGGCCAAGTGCTCAACGGCAGCTATCACTTTTCAAGATCTCTACGTATATTTCTGTGAAGTGGAGTATAATTCATTTTAATAACAAATACATCGTTTTCATTCCAAAAAGTCAAGTATTATTTACTCGTATTTAATTAAACATACTCGCGGGCACATTTTAATTGGCACCCTGGTAAAAACATATTGTCTCTTTTATTATTGTATATAAAAAATTGATTTTGATTAAATAGGCTATGAACGTAGCAATTATGCAGCCGGCTGCACACCCGGAGGTCCTGGGTTCGAGTCCCGGGTCGGACCAAGTTTAGTTATTGAGTCTTCCTGTATAGTAAGTCTCAGTAACAGCCCGGAGTTGGGAAGTTGGCGGTGTTTCACCCCCGTGCCTCGGAGAGCACGTAAAGCCGTCGGTCCTGCGCCTTAACTCTCACCGGTCGTGTCGAGTGGTCGTCCCACCGGAGTATGAGAGTAATAGGAATAGAGAGTGCACTTGTGTCTGCGCGTACACTTGAGCACTATAATATCTCCTGCGCAGTTGGCTGATCTCATTGAGATTGGCCGCCGTGGCCGGAATCGGCTAGGAGAACATGATATCTATTGCGATTATAAAAATTGAATAAAGCTAAAGCATTTTTGTGTGAATTCATTCAGTCCTCGGATAGCTTTTAATAAGGAAACAAAAGGAAAATAAAGAAGAAGTCAGCAAGTAAAAGTGTTTTAATTAGTGCCCAGTGAATACAGTCCACCAAAATAACAATACGGAGCGTCTATTCGTCCTTTCATAGGACGAATAAAAATAATTATTATTTTTATTCGTCCTTTATAAATATGTATATAAATCATAAGGAAGGACGAACCTATCTTATACCTTTAAACGAGCAATTCTTGTCTATTTATACAAGCGATCTCGGAAACGGCTCTAACGATTTTGCTGAAATTTGGTATGTGGTTGTTTTTGGGGGCGAAAAATCGATCTTGATTAGTCTTACTTCTGGGAAAACGAGTATTTTCGAGTTTTCATGCGGTATTCTTTCGCACGCGAAATATGGTTGCTAATTTCGCACGCTCGTGCATACGCATCGTGGTCAAGCGGCCAAGGTGCAACATTGACAATCGTAGGGTCTGGGTTCGAATCCCAGTCGAGTATGAGTTTTTACTTTGTTTTTTATATTTATTTGAGTTTTTAGTTTTTTTTTAAAGAAAATTGTAATTTTGACCAAAAACTCCGATAGGCCGAGCTCGGTAGATAAGGTATATTTTTTGCACATTAAAACTAACTTTAAACTAACACCTAAAAATCACTTTTTAAACATATACATTCTTAAACTTAAAAATCGTTTTGATTTAAAATAATAAGTTTTCAGCTCGGTAGGTTAAGGTTATTTTTTTTGTGCATGAAGAAACTCCTGCACCTAAAATCACTTATTTTTCAAAAGAAAACAAAAAAAAGTGGTAAATATTCGTACAAACGGACAGTAGCCGGACGAATAATATATTTTTTATTCATCCGAATATATCGGACAATTAGCAACCACCCCTTTTTTATTCGTCCTTATTTTAAGTACGAATAGCAACAGCCATAACAATAAATATACATTGACGTTGTATTTAACGCATGTTATTTACTATCCAATCTCGGTATTGAGCTACATCAGTGTAGACGGTGTAAGCGTTTGGATCGCAAATGTCGGCGTCTTTTCGCGCCAACGTCGCTGATACTATTCCTTTGACGTACCAAGCTCCTGGTCTCTCTTCAATTGGAACTTCCTTGTAATAATGATAGTTTCTATCATCCTCTACAAACACAAAGAATCCACCGCCACTATCTCCGTTACATGCAGAAGTACCTACAAAATAAAGTACCATCAAGATTGATTTATGATTTTTATGGGATAACGTAGTTATGATTCTTAGTGGATATTCTATTCGACCCTTTTTTAAAGTCCCACTGCTCCCTTGTATGGTAGTAGTGGCTTTTCGCTAGAAAAGCCGTCGGCTACGGCGAGTCTCCACCTGTTCTAGAGGTATGCGTAAATGCATTTCTCAACGTTAAAAACGTTGTCCCATAAAAACTTCTCCAGTAGTTGAGAGTTTAATTTATAACTATAAAATATGATTATTATTATTTCATAATAAAAGTAAGTATATAATATACTTACACAATTACTATTAATAACAATGTACGAGCTGCATGAAATAGAAAAACAGTTTTTTTTAAATTCATAATATGTAAAAGGTGTTGTACGCATCAATATGCATATATTTAAGTATTTTTTTTGATTTTATTACATTTTACGTTATTTTCTTAGTTTAAATTTTCTTACCATTACTATTTCCAGCACAAAACTTCTTCCCATTTAGCACACTGGTGTAATATATTGGTTCGTATCTTATACAAGTTATATCTGGGACTATTGGAAGTGTTGCTGCTTGAAGGTTTTTCGATAGAATATCAGATTGGTCTATCCCCCATCCCACCACCTGAATTTATAGAAAATAAAATTAACTAGCGACTCATCCTCGTTACGCTCGGGTTCGTCCCTAGGTACGTTTTAACGGTTAGTATGCAATAGATAGTCTATGTATAAATATGTATAGAAAAGTAAGTAAGTACTTACTTTAAAAAATAAAAAAAATATCCCTTACTTGAGAAATTATTGATTCCTCATACAAACTTCCATCCCCATTTTCATCCCTTCTGGGCTGATTTCCGGGATGAAAATTGTCATATGTTCTTCCAAGGGTCTCAAACTAAATATCTTCATACCAAATTTCATCTAAATCGGTTCAGCGGATTAAGCGTGAAAAGGTAACACACAGTTACTTTGACATTTTTAAAATTACTATGGTTTTAACAACAGTTTATTATATTTGACCATTTTATGATGTATTGCATATTATGGCATTTTAAATAAAACTATCTTTTCGGATTATTTCGCGGATTTAAATTGTGTTTTAACTTAATTATATTGCTTTAATATTTTAACTTCATTTAAATTACATATAAAACAGTAATATTGCTTAAATAAATAATTATTCATATTTTTAATTTTTGAATATTATTTATGGTTATACATAATATAATAATAGGAACACTAAATAATATTAGTAATTATCAAAGTATTACATATGAATTTTATAATGAAGATTATATGAACAATTTTAATATTTTAATAAATTTTAACACTTACCGTGCCAGTAATTTCAAAAGATGGCAAATGGTCATAGATTCCGTTGAACCAAATACAAGCTGGTTGGACGAAGTTGTTAAATATGGCTTCTGTACTTAACTTTAACAAAGCGATATCATTATTAACGGAGTCCTTATTATATTCATCATGAACAATTACTTCAGATACCTAGTAAGACACATAAAGAATTATAAAGCATCAATATGATGTTTGTCAATAAGAATATGAATATTGAAGAGATTGCATTACCACTTCTAAATCCACCAACTCTTAGATACATATAAACTAAAGACTTGTCTTCGCTTCGCTCGGGTGTTTTTTTTTTAAATAAAAGTAGTCTAAGTGATTTCTTATAACATCAACATCTGCCAGTGAAAGTACCGTCTAAATCAGTCCAGGGATTTCGGATATTAGCCCGAACAAACATACAGACAAAAAATAAAAAAATAGTATTTTTCTTATTTGTACCGTTTATACGGTTTCATATGCATTTAGTAACAAGCTTTTTTTTTGCATTGCAAACAGATACTTCAATTTTATTTATTTGTATAGACGTCTAGTTTCTATTCCAAAAACAAAACTACGCATTTTATTCAAAAAATTGTTGATTTCGAAAAAAAGTAATTTAAGAAAAAATTAAACCGACTTAAAAAATACTAAAAAGTAAAAATAACTGAACGGAGGGTTTCATTTACTATGGATACCTAATCAGATATTTTCGATGTCGGTGCCAGCCGACAATGCTTTAAAACATAAATATCTAATAGATAAATTATACATTAATTAAAGATGTATTTATACGTATCGAAATAGATTTGCTTTGCTTTGCATCGGCTCACACCGACTTCGAAAATATATGATTAGGTATCTATAGTAAATGAAACCCTCCGTTTAGCTATTTTTTTTACTTTTTAGTGCCTGAAAGTTTTTTTTTAAATTTTAAAAAGTCGGTTTAATTTTTTTACGTTCCTTTTTATTATAGTTATTCCTTTTTATTATACCTATTTGACTTTCTTAAAGACATCATTTTTACTATCAATAGTTGGGTTTTTGCCAAATTCTACCTCGTATTAGAGCCCATAGGTAATCAATCTCTTTTGCGCTTGCTATATATATAGATATAGAGGCCAAAGATTCTATCTATATTAAGACTTGTGAATGTCTTTACTTAATGAAGCTAATACTGAATGCAGTATAAATCGGAAATGATTAAATAAATAAGAAGCAAAGGAACTACCTCCCTGTCTTGATTAGTATTTTCGATTCGATGGAGACTATATTTTCCGAGAACAACCCCAAGAAGATCTGGATTGACTTTCACGCCTCGGACTGTGGCGCAATGGGCCGCTACGAGAAAGAAAGAAAATCTTATTTAAAAAAAAAAAACTATCTTTTCGGATTATTTCGCGGCTTTATTTTGTCTTTTGGTTCCCGACGTTTCAAATGCTTTAAGGCAATTATGGTCACAAAAGAGACTAAGGTTTTAAAATCTCAAAGGCATTATATACTTATAATGCCTTTGAGACGTCTGTAACAAGTATATATTGCGTAAATCACTCCGTCAGTTACCATTTCAAGTTAAACATCAGGACCGATTTCGATAAAATTTTGCCAGCTGGGTTCAATGGTAGCCACCCTTGAACCCTGAACCACTTATCACGCGAAACTGCAGACAAAAACTAGTAGTTAATAAGTTACCTGTTAAAACTACATATTTTGAAATCAATGTTCCTCCGCATATGTAGTTTAGGATACCTCGTGTAAGCTTATTTATGGCGACATGCCAAGGCCAGTGGTCTGCCTTCGTCGTAGAACCGCTGACAATTAATGATATTGATTCTTTATTTACTTTTCGTCTGCCACAGAATTTGTCAGGTGCATCAGGTAAATATTTTGTGACATGGTGGTACTCTTCAAAGTATGTCTGAAATAATAAATACAAATAAAATAGTAGCAAAGCGAAATCTGTAGCAGAAATATTTTTAAAACAATTATTGTTTCGTATTGTGCACAGAATACAGACCCCAAAACAATATTTATTAAAGTTTTTGTCTGTATGTATGTGTGCATTTCACGCAAAAAGTACTGAACCGATTCTAACTAAATTTTATACAGTAATAACTTATTACTCGGGTCAACATTTAAGATTTCTTTTCCTACGGGAAAACACAATAACTTAAATAGAAATTTACATGGTTAAAGTTGGCTAAACCTTTAAAGATACGTCAAAACAATGTACTAGAAAGATTTTGGTCTTAAAAAGGCCTATGGAAAAGTCCGCAATAGCATATGAAAATAGGAATGCGATGGGACTTAAGTTACCCTGGCAATAAGCAATAATAAAAATAGACCCTACATACCCGAGCGCAGCGAGGGTTAGTTGCTAGTGTTTGATAACATTATTTTCAAATTTTTAAAGGATTCTGATATTCATAAAAATTACTTTCTGCGACTTGATACGAAAAGAATAGATTTCTCATTTTTTAACAAACGACTAGCGTCACCTTTTAGCAAATTTTAATACAGTAGCCAGCCTATCTATGTACAAAATGTCATATAAATTTGAAGGAGTAAGAAACAACAATTTTTTTATAAACTGTACAAAATATCGCAACGATCAGAAATCTTAACATCTCAACCAGGAAATCTATACTATAATATAGAAAGGCAGACTTTGTTGGTATGAACGCGGAAATAATGTAGAATTAAGTCAGAGGAACTACCATTCTGATTTGAAAAAATCTCTTTACATTAGATAGCCCGCTTATAGAGGAAGGCTATCATTTTTAATTTACTGAAAACCTTTTGGGAATATACTATTTACATCATAACAATAACATCTGTAACAAGAAAAAATAATATTTGTTAAATTTTTATTTTCATACAAAAATAAAAATATTTTTTTTGCATCTTCTAAACTTTAAAGTTCTAGCATCTGGCCAAGTTTAAATTAGTAAGCGCGCCTTCCCACACCCCTCCACCCCTCCCCCTCCACCGGACACGCACTTTCTTTTGTTAATTCTGGACTATTACCGTTGAGAAGGTGCAATAAAAATATTTTTATTTTTGTTAAATTTAAGATATTTTTTTTCTTACAGATATTGTTATTATGTTATAAATAGTGTATTCCCAAAAGGTTTTCAGTAAATTAAAAATGACTCATTATATAATTTTTTATACGACACAAAATTGAAACGAAATTGAATTAGATTTAGTGTCTTCATCTAGCCAACTTTATTTGTTGATATATAAAAAAAATCCATTGATGACATTCCATGTTAATGTAGTATTATAAATAATAAGAATTGAAGCGTATCACTTTGTTTAGTAAGCATGGTAAATATAAAAATATTTAGTATAAAAACAAACTATACCCGATTAGGATTCCTACAGTTTTCTTCTCCATTTATTTTAAGGCTGACAACGTAGGGCGGATGGTGAGGAAAATCTTTTCCTTTTACAGTAAATGAAAACAAATACCTTGGATCTGGATCTTCTAGCAAAATAAATGAAAAAATATTGTTAACTAAATCTTCTTCTGACGTAAACCTGACTTTATTTAAACTCTGAAAAATAATTCATTCATTTAGTAAAAGCAATATATACTAAAACAATACATATAATAAAATTGTAACTAAGCTGAATCTGTACATTAAATATTTTTTGGAAAATCTTATTGAAAAAGATATTACTATCGATATAGAGGCCGAATCTATAGTTTTTAGAATTTTTGTCTATCTATCTGTCTGTCTGTCTGTCTGTATATATGTTACCGCATTACGGAAAAACCACTGGAGGGATTTTCATGAAATTTGGTATGGTGGTGAGCTGGTTATCCGGGTCAACTATAGGATACATTTTACCGCGGGAAAATATCTCATTTCTGAGAAGTAATACAAAAACTGCGTTGTAAGAGTATACTAATATGTAAAACCTAAGAATTTTTTTTTGGTAAACTGAACGCGGGCGGAGCCGCGGGCAACGCTAGAATAAATATAAATAGTTAAGGGTAAAATATAATCCCTTAATTACTTACACTTATGGTTACTCTTCCGATAGAATCCAATTTCACTGTTATAAAAGTAGCAGCTGTTAAATTATTTTTTATTACGACATCATACCCCTCATTCATGCGGTAAAAACGAGAGTAAATATCATTATTTTCAGGACAAAAATTTACTTTGTCAGCTGGTATAAACACATGACTTTGGGTATCACATACTTTGATAACAGCACTTGTTAATAAAATTATATATAAAATTAACATTGTATCGATTTTTATTAATCACTTCACTACACTATTAAAAATTACATGATTTTATTAAATAATAAGTAATATTGTTAAGTCAACATGTAATAATTTACTGAAGCACAACCTAAATTACGTACGTATTCGCTATAACAGTAGGTATAATACGTAGCGCTTATGTGAGACAGAAAACAAGTTTTTGATAGCACTTGACCTTTCATTATACTGAGATGTATTCATACATATGTATATTATATCTTATTATTAACTGGCACAAAAATAAACTCTTTTAATTTGTTTGAAACTTAATAGATCTTATTTAAAACTAGCGGAACCCGCAGCTTCGTCCGCGATCTTTCGCTACACATACTGTGGCGACACGGACCTGCCGAGGGTCCGGTGACGACACTCTGGATCAGAACAGGATGTTCTGCCGATAAAACGATCGGTTCAACGATATTCAAATGAAACGCATAATGGGCCTGGACAACAACAAGCACTTACCGGTCGTACTGTGGCAATCCAAGCCGAGGTGCCTGGTCGAGGTTTAACGCCGTATCTTCGTGGATGGCGGCGGAGCTAAGTTGGGCAGCCCAGCACAGACTTTGTGCTATAAGCTGGTATATATGGACGCGACACTGTTCACACTATTGAATTCACTTCGAGTTAAGGGTTGTATGTGGTTCGCGCGTTCTCTTAGAGCAGGAATAGACGAGTGGGGCGTATTTTAAATAGAAAACGAATTTTATAGCGGCGCCTGTACCGGTAGCAACACATCACCATTCATTCCAGCCCGGAACCAATCAAAATGCAGTACGATCAGTATGTTCATTACGTGAACCTTGGTATTGGCCAGGTCCGCCGCGTGACATTCAAATAGGATTGAACCCAACGTAATTGAATGGAGAATGAACATACCGCCCACCAAAATACAGCTGGTATTTTCCAGATTAATAGGTAAATAATAATAAAAAAAAAAAACGATAATCTAAGTATAAAATAAATAATAGTATAAGGTATATTGTATATGTATGTGTTACGAATAATATATGCTACGACTGATAATGTTATAGTATAAAATATGATATATGTTAAAAAACGTTAGTTTAGTATACAATAGCTCAAGATCATGTGAATTACGATTCGATAGGAAGAGGGCATAGCTTTACAAGAGGTCGTTTAATCAAGCTTTCCTTAGTTTTAACGGTTGCTATTCGGACGATACCATCCGGACCGGGATGCAACTCCGTCACCCTTCCTAAAGACCATTGCAATGGAGCACGATTGTCATCCTTTATCAAAACAACAGCATTTACATCGAGTGGCTTAGAGGTCTTTGTCCATTTAGCACGTAAGGTTAATGAGTGTAAATATTCGTTTTTCCAACGAATCCAAAAATTCTGTAGGAAGGACTGAATTAACTGCCAACGGGTTAATCTATGAAGTTTTATATTAGTATAATCTACATCTGGGACGGTCGTAAGAGGTTCTAAAGTCAAGAAATGACCAGGAGTTAGAACATTTAAGTCATTTGGATCGGTACTTAACGCATAAAGAGGTCTCGAATTTAGCACTGCTTCAATTTGAACAAATAGCGTGGACAGTTCTTCGAAAGTTAAAACCTGATTACCTATAATGCGATACAGATGAGATTTGGCCGCTTTGATTTGAATTTCCCACACACCACCAAAGTGAGGGGCTGACGGAGGGTTAAATTCAAATTTAATTCGTTCCGTATGCAAGGCATTCTTTAGTAAGGATAGATGATTGCTCACACCTATGAAATTTGTTCCACAATCTGCATGGATCACATTACAACGACCACGACGTCCAACAAAACGACGCAATGCTGCCAAAAATCCATCAGCTGACAACGATGATACGACTTCCAAATGGACGGCTTTTGTAGCTAAACATACAAATAAACAGAGATAAGCCTTATCTATTTTGGCTCCACGATGTGTACCTTGTTTGATACGGAAAGGTCCGCCGAAGTCAACACCCACGATAGAAAATGGTTTCACTTGATTAACACGAAATGAAGGAAGATCGCTCATGTATGGCTCTAACGATTTAGGTTTTGTTCTAAAGCATCTAATACATTGGGAAAGACAACGTCGTATAACACGTTTAGCTGACAATATCCAGAACCGTTGCAATATTAAGTAGTGCGTAGTATTATGCCCCGTATGGCAATGTTGACGGTGTATGGATTCGATAACCCTATAAGTAAATTCATGGTTACTAGGTAAAAGAGCGGGATGTCGGTGTTCGAATTCAAGACCAGCACGGGATATCCGACCGCCCACCCTGAGAATACCATCCTCATCCAGAAACAGATTTAATTTACGCAACGGTTTTGGTAGTGGTTGCTTTGCTCGAAGCCGTTGAATTTCACCAGCAAATGACGAAGATTGGACAAATTTCACGATAAATAACAATGAGTTATGATTTTCGGTTTCAGTTAGAATTGAGCCTCTATGACGATCATGTGGATTTTTCGTATTATGTATAAATCGTCGAATATAAGAAACGATGTGCATTATTTTTTCTAACGACGAATATAATTTTATTAAATTGAGGATAAGAGTGCCATACTCATCTTTTGAACAAGTAGCCAAAACAACTGTACGGCGCTCTTCAGCTCTTACGATGTTTTCGTCCTCAGAACTATAAGATTGAGAAGGTTTTCTATTGGTTGGCCATTGATCGGACGGTTTTACTAGCCACACTGGCCCTGACCACCATAATGAGTTATGAAATAGATCATAAGGAAGATTCCCACGTGAACAAATATCCGCAGGATTGTCTGAAGACGCTACGTGATGCCATACCTCCGTAGAGAAAATATCCTGGATATGTCCCACACGATTAGCTACGAACGTGGTCCATCGAGAGGAGTGTGAACGAAGCCAAGATAGGACGACGGTCGAGTCAGACCATAGATAAATAGCGTGGAGCGTTAATTTTGTTAAGTATGTATCCAGCACAAATTTTGCTAAATTTGTCAGCAAGACGGCTGCACACAACTCCAATCGAGGCAAAGAGATTTTCTTAATGGGAGCTACTCGAGCTTTGGCACATACTAATCGTGTTTGTGTTAATCCGTCTGCAGTTGAAACTCGAATATAAATAACTGCTCCATACGCAAGCTCCGAGCTATCACAAAATCCATGTAATTCGTACGTTAAAGTGTTGTTAATTGTCATACACCGTGGTATACGCAGGTCCTTTAATATAGACAGCTGATTGCAAAATGTTTCCCACACGCTATTCACATCTTCGGGTGGATCACTGTCCCAATCGATACCAAGCAGCCAGAGCCGTTGCAAGAGGCACTTCGCCTTGATGGTTAGAGGTGCAAGGAAACCTAAGGGGTCGAAGATCTTCGCGATCTCGCTAAGAATAACTCGTTTTGTACAAGGTCGGATTGAAGATTTAACATCAAAGGAAAATGTATCGGTAGTTGGCTCCCACTTTAAACCAAGCACCTTTAGGCTACAAGAGTCATGGCCGGTAAATGTTTTGGAACTAAGCAAACATTCTTCCTGAGGAATATCAGAAAGTAACTCTGGTATGTTACTGGCCCACTTCCTCAACTGGAAATGCCCTAATTCCAAAAGCTCTATAATTTGTGCTTTAGCCTCTAGAGCCTCGTCCAGAGTCTCACAACCGGTTACAATGTCGTCAACATAAATCTCGCTATGCAGAATTTGGTTTGCTAGAGGAAATGCAGAGCCTTCATCCTCAGCTAGCTGTTTAAGAGTTCTACATGCTAGAAACGGTGCAGAGGAGACTCCGTAGGTGACAGTATTTAACCTGTATTCCTGCAAAACTTCACCAGGGCTAGACCTCCAAAGAATCCGTTGATAATCTCTATGATTATCAGCTACAAGAATCTGTCTATACATCTGACGTATATCCGCTAAAAACACAACTACGTGTAAACGAAAAAGGAGAAGAACCTGCACTATATCACTCTGAAGCTTAGGGCCTGTCAGTAGCGTGTCGTTTAACGACCTACCGCTGGCGTCTCGGGCCGATGCATCGAAAACAACGCGAAGTTTTGTGGTGCTACTATCTGGTTTAACAATGCAGTGATGTGGTATATAATATTTACCTTCACCGAGCTCCTTCACGGGGACAAGCGTCATATGGCCACTCTTCTCATAGTCCTCCATGAATTCTGAATACTGCTTATATAACGTCGGATCGCGGGAGAGACGGTTCTCAATGGCCTTGAAACGCCTTAAAGCAAGACTACGAGAATTCTCAAACTTTGGCTCTATACCATCCTTAAAAGGTAACTGAACTCCGTATCTGCCTGTTGAATCACGATAATGGTCGGTGACATATGCCTTTTCACATGCCATATCTAGTGGTGTGAGAATTGATGCTTGAGGAACATTATCAATCTCCCAGAAGCGTTGAACCATAGAAGTCAGCTCGTCGGATTTGGCTGTATATTGTAATAAGGACGAGGATGTGAGGTGTGTTCTACCTAATAAAAGCCATCCAAAGACTGAATTCATCGCAACAGGTTGATTAGACCGACCCTTCATACATTGGTCCAATAGAGAATCAGCGAATATATCTGCACCAAGCAAAATATCGATAGGCCCAGGTATATCGAAACCTGGATCTGCCAAGGGTAACGATTGAATGTGAGACCAACCATTCGTATTAAGTTTAGCAATAGGCTGATCGCCACAAATAGTTGATATGACATGCATGTCAACATCGAATAAAACCTTGTTGTTTGATGCGAGTGAACAACGAACCATGTGACTAACATCTGCAGACAATCCACCTAAACCGTTAATATTTGCATCGCATGGTACTTGTTTAATATTTAAGGTTCGAGCTGCGTCACAAGTAATTAAATTGTTTTGGCTGCCAGTATCAAACAGTGCCCGAAAACAATGATACCGACCCTTTTCATCTACTATCTGCACTATAGCGGTAGCAAGAAGAACAGTTGTGTTTAGTGAAGATTTTGTACATAATTCGTAACCAGAGGCCTTGGCGATTAAGGACACAGAACGAGACGGGGTATCGGTAGATTGCTCTTTGTGAAGCAATGTGTGATGTTTATGTTTACATTTAAGGCATCGGAAAATCGACTTACACTCTTTTAATTGATGAGATGATTTAAGGCAGTTGAAGCACCATCTTTTTTCGTTTGCAACAGACATGCGTTCATCTACCGATTTTGATAGAAATCGCTTACAATGTGCAATTGAATGAGTAGCATCTGTGCAAAACGAGCATTTAGGCATAACCTTGGAGTTGTCATGCCGCGTTTCTCCAGTTTTTAGTTTATCATCCGAATGACTAGAGACTAATGTGTGAGTAACAGGACGACGTTTAACAATATTAGAAGGAGGCCTAATCGAATCCTTTACAACATGAAAAGCGGCTTTAGTAGCTTCAGAAAAATGATTATCTCGTATAAGCGCTTCACATCTTGAATGTAAAAACTCTTTTAAATTAATATATTTAGGAAATTCAGAACTACAACAACTTTCTTCGAAATCCCGGCGCAACTTCGATTCTAATTTCGATAGAACATGATAAACGATTATAAATTCCCATTGCTCAACAGGTAAATTTAACTTTCTTAAAATACTCAAATTCTCATCAATACTGTCCAAGCTACGACGAAAGTCATTTATATTTTGAATTTTCAAATTTACATTTAAAATATCCTTCCAACAGGTATAAGCTAATTCACGAGTATTCTGATAGCGCGCGATTAACGCGGCATACGCATCTGAATAATAGTCACCGGATACGGGAAACACACGAATAAGTGACAACGGATCGCCGCTTAACGAAGAGATTAAATAATGAAATTTCTCAACGTCCGTTATGGAGTTACAATTATGTATAAGAGCGTTAAATGTATCGATAAACTCAGGCCACTTCTTTATATTGCCTGAAAAACTCGGTAATTGGATTTTCGGTAAGCGTACATGAGACAAAGGAGATTTGATGTTAGAACTCGTGCCAGCCGACATATTAGACGTGTCAGATAAATTCAATTCACCTCTCGTTAAACTACGAAGGATAGCCATGACTTGAAAGTATGCATCGTCAAAACGCGCACGTATGTCATCATCATCAACGCTGCCATCACACGAGTCCAAAAGTTCGAGTATAAAGAAATGCGCTTCTTCAAACTCAGACACAAACCTTTGCCTGATCGCAGTACGAGAAAAAAAGGTCACAGTGAACCTCATCGCCTTTTGCTTTCTTACCGATTTCCAATGCTTTTAACATACGATTTAATGCAATAGTACGTTTCCTTTTGGGAGATGGTAAGTCATGAACAGTATAGCATTCTGTTCCCGTCTGTTTTATCTTCGATTTACTAGAAGTATTAAGTTTACGGCTACTACGTTTTGGATTAAACGACATTTTGTAAAATAAAAAGAAAATATAATGGTTACGAGATAACTGTAATAAAGCAATATAATGTTATAAGCGAATAATAGTTATAACTACGTATAAGTTGTCTTTAACTTGCAATTCTCTAATTAGTCATATGCGCGTCTTACTGCGCGACGGTGGCGTGTATGAGTACAATGCAACGTAGGTATATCTTGCGAAGGAACAAATATTTAGATGTAAATACGTTGATTGAGTTTCGTTATGTTGTGAGTTAGTGAATATTAAATTGCTACAGCCGATTAAGATTATATAAACACCGTATAAATGTATAGATTGTTTATATTTGATCTGTAACTATCTAACATTCTACGTATAAGAAAGTGCACGAATCATCTGCGATAGGTAGTTATATTATTTAAACTGTATGCAGATTTTATAACGTATTATTAATAATAACGAACGAAGTTAAGTGAAAATGTGAACGTTGCAATTGAATGTGAATGATATTCAAAAGTGGTGAACAAGATGTCGGTTAGTGAAGGAGCGTATTAAGGTACAGTATTAAGTATGATGTATGAGACAATGGCCGAAAGTAGGTATAGATTATTTTTATATTTTATATATTACAAAAAAGTATGCTTTGTAATGTTGTAAAATTATGTATTATGAGTAATACTTTCGACTAGAGTAGGTAGTATACTTATTACTTTACGGACAAAAAATACCAGCTATATTAACGAATTCAAATACGGCAAGCGATATAACTAGGCACCTTTGTTCCCAGGTTTCGGCACCAAAAGATGTGGCGACACGGATCTGCCGAGGGTCCGGTGACGACACTCTGGATCAGAACAGGATGTTCTGCCGATAAAACGATCGGTTCAACGATATTCAAATGAAACGCATAATGGGCCTGGACAACAACAAGCACTTACCGGTCGTACTGTGGCAATCCAAGCCGAGGTGCCTGGTCGAGGTTTAACGCCGTATCTTCGTGGATGGCGGCGGAGCTAAGTTGGGCAGCCCAGCACAGACTTTGTGCTATAAGCTGGTATATATGGACGCGACACTGTTCACACTATTGAATTCACTTCGAGTTAAGGGTTGTATGTGGTTCGCGCGTTCTCTTAGAGCAGGAATAGACGAGTGGGGCGTATTTTAAATAGAAAACGAATTTTATAGCGGCGCCTGTACCGGTAGCAACACATCACCATTCATTCCAGCCCGGAACCAATCAAAATGCAGTACGATCAGTATGTTCATTACGTGAACCTTGGTATTGGCCAGGTCCGCCGCGTGACATTCAAATAGGATTGAACCCAACGTAATTGAATGGAGAATGAACACATACTATATTATTTGCAAAAATAAATTTGTGTAAGATTTCGTGTTCTTAAAGATATAAGGAAATCAAATTTAATTTTAGCGATCGTAACTCGAAAGATCCAGTATCTTAAAAGATGTTAAACTAGATTAAATATTCTGTAAATAAGTTTTAATTTTAGGCATTTCGTAAGCTCCATTACCTGTATTTTTTATTCACTTTTCTACTCCATCTTACCAAAGTTAGAGGAACAGAGTACAATGATACAATCGCATACAATGTTTACAACTTTAGAATCATGTAATACGGCTAATATGAGTTGTTTAACTAACATACTAATAGGCTAACATCAACGTTATTTTTAAAGACCCACTGCTATGTCCACCTGAAATTTACAGTCTCCCTCCTTCTTCTCCTTTTTTAATTTACATAAAGTGCCATTCTTATTTTGCTGTAGCTTTTCGCTCACGGCTACGCTCGCGTGGACTGAAAAATTTGCTCGGTTTTAATTACCATTGAATTTATATGTTGTTATATCGAATTTTTAATATTATGTCTAGAGTCAAACTCTAGATTCACTTAACTTAGTCAACACTAAAAAACCCAACCACAAATATACCACACTGATGGATATTCGGTCTAGTTCATGGTTCTGTTGAAATGTCCCTGTGAGGAGCTATCCTCCCTTAAGTCTACGTCTGCTACTTTTAACGACTGGCCCTGAGATATATTAATGGTCATTTCAAAGCAAACTTTAAAGAGGAATTACAATAGATTAAATTCAAAGGCGTAGTCAGAAGTTATCAGTGGTATTCGAGATATGAATTATGATTTCCCCCGAGTACATCCGGCAAACACAGTGGCCATTGTGATGTTTAATTAATTACTCACAGTCTAACCCCGTTGCACAGCTTAGGTGACTTTTTGATTACAGTTGCGCCAACCTTTAGAAGGAGGATATTAGATATAGATAGCAGGATACTCTCTAGTTAGGTTCTCTCTCTAGCGCTCTAGGTTTATTGTTGTTGTTACTGCTGTGGCCAGCCGAGAAGTTATATATAATTTTCCTTTGGGTTTGGAATAATCTCCGTTCTCTACTTTATATACACAGTATCTAAGTGTGCACTTACTTACTTTGTTTAAATATATTCAACAACTTCAACTTCACCGCCGAGTTTTACCCCCTTAGGAGCTGAATAAAAAAAAAATAGAATACATGTTTATTTAAGTGTATTGAAGAGCACTAATACCAAGTTTCAAATAATTTTGATCATGAACATTATTTTCCTCATATATACAGCACAGCCCCCTTTTACCCTTATGAGTAATGAATTTCGAAAAAAAAAAAAAATGTTTGTATTGTTTTATTTTTCATTTCCAAGGTAAATACACTTTTCGAGCATCAATTACCGAATTTCATACAAACTTTCATCCACTATTTTACCCCCTTATGGAATGAATTTCAAAAATTTCAAGTTAAGTTTAAAGTTTCAAGTAATTCTGATCATAAATAATTGCTTGCCCATATAAACTTTATAACCCCCTTTTACCCTTTTAAGGGATGAATTTCAAAAAAACCTAATACATATATTTCTTATTTTTCATCTTAAAGCTAAATACCACTTTCCCTGTAATTCGCGTTAAGAATAACAGAGTGTCATACAATCTTTTAACCCTTTTTTTTTTTAACGTTGGGAAATGCATTTACGCACGAGGTGTGGGACTCACCGGCAAAGCCAGTACTACCCACTAAAACCCAACAAAACCTTCCTCCGTCTTAATGGGGCTTCGCAGGATCGCTTACGCATTCAACTACGACGCCCCGACGGCAGGTCTGCCGAAGCAGACCACAACAACCACGGGGTTGCTCCACAGTCCACTCTGCTATCAGAGAAGTACCAGGAGCAACCCGCATGGTACACTGCCCTCCGAAAAGGGCCACCTCCCACCGACCACCGAAGTGGGCCACCTCCCTGTGCGTTTCTTGGCTTCGCGCCCGGTTGGGTTGTCGGGCACTACTGAGCCCCCCCCCCCCACCACGACAAGGTGAACGCACGTTGGGGGGGAATCTTTTAACCCCTATTTTACCCCCTTACGGATTAAATTTCGCAAAATACTTTCTTAGCGAATGCCTACATTGTCTAAAGAATATGATCTCCAAATTTCACGTTTCTACAACGTTTCTTCACGTTTCTCAGAACGCTCTTTCAGAACGCTCTCTAGCGAAAAGGCCGCACATTAAACTATTTCTACTTTGTTTTGTTTCTTTATTTAATATAAAATAATGGTGTGCAAAAAAAAGAATATTTGTATTTGTAAAAAAAGTTCAATTTAAATTGGAAAAAACTGCCTAAGTTGTAACATACGTTACTAGTACTAGTAGATGAAAACAGGAGATTATTGATTTTTAGCTACTGAATGTTTAAAATACATTCTTCTTACTTTGCTACTACTATTTCTACACTAAAAATGAAAAAAAAAAGAAAAACCGATTTAAAAAAACACTAAGCTGTAACAAATAACTAAGTGGTAGTTTTTATTTACTACTACGACTACGAAAATATCTGATTAGGTATTTCTAGTAAATTAAAATTACCAATCAGTTCTTTTTTTATTTTTAGTGTTTTTTTTGAAGTTAGTTTTTCTTTTTTATTAATTTTTTTTTATTTAGATCATAACCATGATCAATCAAGTAATTAACAGACATACAATTTTAGAATATAATATAACATCTTCTCAATATAAAATAGATAGAGTTATTACTTTACTTTATCACTTTACAAACCACACTCCCTCGCTTCGCCCGGATTCGTCTCTAGGTGACTGACAGTGAGTTACTCCAATCATATGATATAGTCATAGTCTATCTGAGTAAAAAAATTGCAAATTTCCAAATCAATCCCCCGTATCAGCGTGAAGGAGTATCAAACGTACACGAATATACAAACTTTTAAACTTATTATAAATAGTATTCCAATTAATACGTAGATATTTTATTGATATCATAATTACAATACAATTAAAATTACAATAGATTTACTAAAAATAACAATACGGAGTCTATTCGTCGTTTATAAAATATATAAATTATAGTATTATATTATAGTAGCTTGGATCAGCTCGGTAGCTTAAGGTTATTTTTTTTTGTATACAGAAACTTTTGCACCTAAGATATTTTTTTAAACTTAAAAACTCTTTAAGTTAAAAATCTTTGGGATTTAAAAGAATAAGTTTCTAGCTCGGTAGCTTAAGGTTATTTTTTTGCATATAGAAGCTCCTGCACCTAAAAATCACTTACTTTACATTAGAAACAAAAATAGTTTATTTATCCGATTATGGAACGAATAGCAACAGCCATAACAATAAATATACATTGACGTTGTATTTAACGCATGTTATTTACTATCCAATCTCGGTATTGAGCTACATCAGTATAAACGGTGTAAGCGTTTGGATCGCAAATGTTGGCGTCTTTTCGCGCCAACGTCGCTGATACTATTCCTTTGACGTACCAAGCTCCTGGTCTCTCTTCAACTGGGACTTCCTTGTCATATTGATAGTTCCTATCATCCTCTACAAACACAAAGAATCCACCGCCACTATCTCCGTTACATGCAGAAGTACCTAAAAAATAAAGTACTATCAGGATTCATTTACAATTCTTATGGGATAACGAAGTTAAGATTCTTATGTTAAAATGTTACGTTATCCCATCGTTGAGTCAGAATGCGTAAGTGATCCTGCGACGCCTATTCAGACGGGGGAGGTTCTGTTAGGTTTTTGTGGAGGGGAGGGGAATATCGGGTTTTAATGGGTAGTACCGGCTCTTCTAGCCGGTGAGCCCCACATCACCACCTGGGGGATCAGGTGGTATGCGTAAATACATTTCCCGACACAAAAAAAAGTATAGGTATCCTGTTACACTTTAGATGAACCGGTTTGGCCTAGGAAAAACCAGCTTCGCCTGAAATCTGGTTTGGCTGGTAACATTTATAACTTACTAAATGATTAATAACAATCTATTAGTTGTATGAAATAGAAAAAAAGATTTTTTATTTGGTGGACATTTGTAATGTACCTATATGTTCGCATTAATTTGCATATTATTAAGTCTTGTATTTTATTACATTTTACGTTATTTTCTTTGTGTAAATTTTCTTACCATTACTATTTCCAGCACAAAATTTCTTCCCATTTAGCACACTGGTGTAATATATTGGTTCGTATCTTATACAAGTTATATCTGGGACTATTGGAAGTGTTGCTGAACGAAGGTTTTTCGATAGCATATCAGATTGGTCTATCCCCCATCCCACCACCTAAATTTATAAAAAATGAAATTAACTAAAAGGACTTTATATAAACTATTTTTTATATACAGAAATTAACATATAATAAAATTAGTTTGCAAAGGTGGTGAATTATCGTAGTGCAGTGACACTAAGTGGATAGTGTTTATTTCAGAGGGAAACGGATAGATTCTTGATAAGGAGGATTCTATAATAGAGGCCCGTGCGGTGCTATTATGTAAAAAGGTGGCTGCCTCAGGTGGCACAAACTAGGGGCGGACTTTGGAGTTACAAATACTCCAGACACTCATGTGGACTTTTCGGAAGAAACACCCTTTTTTTCGCAATTTGACAGAATTGTCTAGCAATCGACCTAATATATGTATACCTACCTTTCAGCAATATATGTAGCTCCAATAGTCTCTGAGTAATATTGCTGTGACATTATTATTGACGGACGGACAGAAATTATAAGGTTTCGTTTTTTCCTTTTGAGCTGCGGAACCCTATTGAAAATTATGTAGGGGCGGCATTTCCAAAGCTTGCATCATACTTTATAAAAATTGTTTCTAGGTTGCTTTTAGAACCAATATCGGCAATAGTTTATTATGTTTAACTATTTTATGAATCAGAAATAAAAAAAATTAACAACGATTATGATGATGATGTTCTCCTAGCCGATCCTGGCTACGGCGGCCAATCTTATTGAGACTAGCCAACTACGCAGGAGATATTATAGTGCACAAGTGTTCGCGCAGACACAAGTGCACTCTCTATTCCTGTCACTCTCATACTCCGGTGGGACGACTACTCGACACGACCGGTGAGAGTTAAGGCGCAGGACCGACGGCTTTACGTGCTCTTCGAGGCACGGGGGTGATACACCGCCAACTTCCCAACTCTGGTCTGTTACTGAGGCTTACTATACAGAGAGACTCAATAACTAAACTTGGCCCGACCCGGGACTCGAACCCAGGACCTCCGAGTGTGCAGCCGTACATGCTAGCCACTACACCACCGAGGCAGTTAACAACAACGATTGTATTAACAATTTTAATGTTTTAATAGATTTTAATACTTACCGTGCCAGTAATTTCAAAAGATGGTAAATGATCATAGATTCCGTTAAACCAAAGACAAGCTGGTTGGACGTAGTTGTTAAATATGGCTTCCGAACTTAACTTCAACAAAGCGATATCATTATTTACGGAATTCTTATTATATTCGTCATGAACAATTACTTCACATACCTAGTAAGATACATAAAGAATTATAAAGCGTAATTGATTGTCACTATGAATATTAAAGAATATTGAAGAGATTGCTTTACCAATTCTAAATCCACGAACTCGTATATTAAATGCTTAGATTCCTACTCCAAAAACAAAAGTTTGTGTATTTCATTCAAAACATTGTCGATTTCTTTAATGTGTTTCTAGAAAGTCAAGGCATATTTATTCACAAAAACGACGTAAGGAGAGATAGCGTCCAATAATTTATTATTGCTATTCCATGTCCATAAACTTATTTTACTTTTGAAGTTATTTGATTATTTGAAGACGTCATTTATGCTGTCGGTAATTGGGTTTTTGCTGACTTCTTCTTCGTGTTAACCTCCATAGCTAATCTTTTTTATAGCGCTTACTTTTAGATATAGAGGTCAAAGATGTTATCTATACTTTAATAAAAGAGTAGAGATCTAAAGTCTGTACATAGCAAAAAAATACTAAAAACCGAGACAGGGGGATGTAAGAAGACAAATAGAACAAATCCAGACTTTTATCAAATTTTTTGTTTCTCTGTCTGTTTGTCTGTTTGTACGGGCTAATCTCCGAATCTATTGGACCGATTTAAATGAAATTTTGCATGGTGGTACCTTATATCCCCGGGCAACATCTTAGATACTTTTTATTCTGGAAAATTAAATAGTTCCCGTGGGATAGTTAAAAAAACTATAATAATTTATACAGCTTAGTACACACAAACTACTTATTAGATTTTAATAAAACTTTACAATAATATAGTTTATACATGATAATAACAAATCGGCTACTTTTCATCCCAAAAAATTAAAGGGTTCCCGTGGGACAGTCAAAAAACTATGGTAACTTATACAGCTTAGTACACAAAAACTACTGATTGGATTTTGATGAAACTTTACAATAATATAGGTCATACATCAGAATAACAAATAGCTTACTTTTTATCCCAGAAAAATGTACGGTTCCCGTGGGATAGATGTTTTCGTTTATTTGTAACGTATTATGTACACAACATAGACCCCAAAACAATAGTTATTAAAAAAATTGTCTGTTTGTCTGTTTGCCTGTATGTCTGTTTGTCTGTTTTTGTATGCGCGTTTTACGCGAAAAGTAATGAACCGATTTCAACGAAATTTGGTGAAGTGATAACTTATTACTCAACGTTTAGGATACCTTTTACTTCAAGAAAATCTTTCTTTCTCACGGGAAGATACAATAAGTGGTTTTATCGAATCCTTCCTAGAATTTAGAAACCTTCCGCTGGCTAAACCGTACATATATCAAAACAATATACTAAAAAATTGTAGGTCTTGAAAAGTTCTACAGGAAAGTTCTGAATAATATATTTATATCTCCTAAACAATATCTTTTATTTTCTATACCTATAATAAAACTAACTAAGTCAAATCGATGTGCGCGTTTAACGCAAAAAGTACTGAACCGATTTTAACTAAATTTTGTATAGTGATAACTTAGTACTCGGGTCAATATTTAAGATACCTTTTACGACAGGCAAATTATTCATTCCCACGGGAAAACACAATAACTGGTTCTTTCGAATTGTCCTTAGAAATTTATATGGCTAACGCTGGCTCAACCTTAAGAGATAGATCTTTTGATCTCATTGTACAAGAAAATTGTAAGTCTTAAAAGGGTCGATAGAAAAGTTCTCAATAGTATTCTCTATCTGTTTCAGTATTACCATATTATAGTTTTAACATATTTTGTTTTATCTACATCTATCTGTATAGTATCTACTAAAGTTCACTCGCTATAAATATTTTCATTATTATATATTACTGTTTTAGGTATTATACGTTATTTATTCTATCTATAAATATAATAAAACTGTAGAGGTGGTATGTCTGTACATAGAATTTTTTTTTTAAAAACCAAGTCAGTTATCTTCTTAAATCCTGTAAGAAGAAAAATAGAACAAATCAATTTTTTTTTTAATTTTTTTGTTTCTCTGTCTGTTTGTCTATTTGTACGGGCCATGAACGAATTAGAGACTCGTTCATGGTACGGGCTAATCTCCGAAACTATTGGACCGATTTAAATGAAATTTTGCATGGTCGTACCTCATATCCCCGATCAACATGTAAGATACTTTTCATTTCGGAAAATTGAAGAGTTCCCGTGGGATAGTTAGAAAACTATAGTAACTTATACAGCTTAGTACACAATAACTTATGCACCTAATTTAGTAAAAGTTGACATGCTGATACCTTATATTGCCGGTCAAACGACAGGTTACTTTTCATCCCGGAAAAATGAACGGTTTCCGTGGGATAGATCTGTTTTTGTTTGTTTGTAATTTATTACGTACACAATATAGACCCCAAAATAATAGTTATTAAAAATTTTGTCTGTTTGCCTGTATGTCTGTTTGTCAGTTTGTCTGTTTTTATGTTTTTACGGGCTAATCTCCGAAACTTTTGGACCGATTTAAATGAAATTTTGCATGGTGGTACCTTATATCCCCGGGCAACATCTTAGATACTTTTCATTCCAGAAAATTAAAGAGTTCCCGTGATATAGTTAAAAAACTATAGTATCTTATACAGCTTAGTACATAACAACTTATGCACTTAATTTAGTAAAATTTAACATTCTGACACCTTATATTGCTGGTCAAACAACAGGGTACTTCTCATCGCGGAAAAATGAACGGTTCCCGTGGGTACTAATAGATCTCTATTAGTGTTTTTCTAGAGGCGAACCCGAGCGAAGCGAGGGTGAGCCACTAGTCTATATTAAGACTTGTGAATGTCTTTACTTAATGAAGTTATTACTGAATGTAGTATAAATTGGAAATGATTAAATAAATGAGAATCAAAGGTACTACCTCTCTGTCTTGATTAGTAACTTCAATTCGATAGAGACTATATTTCCCGAGAACTACTCCAAGAAGATCTGGATTGACTGGCACACCTTGGACTGTGGCGCAATGAGCGGCTACGATAAAAAATATCATTTATAAGCCAAATTGGAGAGATTGATACATTTTATATAAAACTACTAGTTTACCCCTTTTAATCTTATTTATTAATATGAAGCTGCAAGCAACTTCACGAGTAACTTCGTTTTTATGAGACACTTAAGTTTTCTCCTATTTATTTATGATAATCATTAAAAATAAAACCGGCCAAGTGTGTGTCGCGCCACGCGCAATATAGGGTTTCGTAGTTGCCCATCACAATAATGCGGACTAAGAAGGCTCCTAGTTTTTCATAATATGAACATTTAAAGTTTACGGTTTCGGGGGCTCATAGTAACAAGTACATTTTATAAGTTGGCCAACGATTACTTGCTCTACTCGCTTGTAAAGCCTATTTAAGACTTCAATTGAACTGACCGTGATTTTTTTCACAATACCCAAAAAGTAATCATTTAGCTGGCAGGGGTTGGGGGGACACTTGACCCTAAAAATATTAGCAATATTTTTGAAAGACCTAGAGAAATTTTATTTTGCCACTTTGTCGGCATGACTAATATGCCATGTCTATGCCAAATTACAGCTTTCTAATACTAAGAGCCTCTGAGCTAAACTGCGGACAGACTAACGGACGGATATGGCGAAACTATAAGGGTTCCTTGTTGACTACGAAACCCTAAAAAGTGACTGTATATTGTAGACTATATCGTTTTGGATTTTCTTAATTTTTTGCTTTCGACGTTTAAGTACTAAAGTTTTTGACGGCTTAAAGTCTCATTAAATTAAGTATAACACGTTAAAAATCCATACTTCCATTATAAATATCATTTATAAATGTTTTAGTCACTCCATCTGTTACCTTTTCATGTTTAAACAGCTGAACCGATATCGATAAAATTTAGCCAGGTTATCACGAAACTGTTGGCAAAAGCTAGTAGTTAATAAGTTACCTGTTAAAACTACATATTTTGAAATCAATGTTCCTCCGCATATGTAGCTTAGGATGCCTCGTGTAAGCTTATTTATGGCGGCATGCCAAGGCCAGTGGCCTGATTTCGTCGTAGAACCGCTGACAATTAATGGCATAGATTCTTTATTTACTTTTCGCCTGCCACAGAATTTGTCAGGTGCATCAGGTAAATATTTTGCGACATAGTTGTACTCTTTAAAGTATGTCTGAAATAATAAATATAAATAAAATAGTAGCAAAGCGAAATCTGTAGCAGAAATGTGTTTTAAAAACAATGATGTTTCGAATAAATAATCGAAAAAATGAATGATGTGTACAGAATACAGACCCCAAAACAATATTTATTAAAGTTTTTGTCTGTAAGTATATGTGCATTTCACGCAAAAAGTACTGAAGCAATTCTAACTAAATTTTATGTAGTGATAGCTTATTATTCGGGTCAACATTTAAGATCTCTTTTACTACAGGTAAAGAGACAAAAATCAACATAAGCTTTATAGTCAATTTGTAACTCTTCGGCTTGTGCAAATCGGCAGATTATTGAATTGCACACTTTTTAGGATGTAATTAGCCCACCATACCTTAATCTAACAGTTTCAAGTATTTCTACTTTATCAAAATATTTTTTAAATATTTTGATCGGTTGCTCTTGATCCACGCCCCTCTATAGAGGATATAAATTATGGTGGGGGTACTCATCAGAGTGCAAGGCTATGTTAATCTGTTGTTATATAAAAAAACCATTGTGGCGTAGATGTTATGGTTAACAACATGCCATATTAATATAGTATTATAAATAATAAGAATTGAAGAGTTCACTTTGTTTAGTAAGCATGGTAAATATAAAAATATTTAGTAAAAAAACAAGCCATACCCGATTAGGATTCCTACAGCTTTCTTCTCCATTTATTTTAAGGCTGACAACGTAGGGCGGATGGTGAGGAAAATCTTTTCCTTTTACAGTAAATGCAAAATAAAATTTTAGATCTTCTAGCAAAATAAATGAAAAAATATTGTTAACTAAATCTTCTTCTGTCGTAAACCTTACTTTATGTTCACTCTGAGAAATAATTCCTTCGTTTAGTAAAAAGCAATGAACCACCATAGTTAAGGTTAACAAATAATCTCAGAATTACTTACAGTAACGGTTATTCTTCCGATAGAATCCAATTTTACTGTTATAAACGTGGCAGCTGTTAAATTCTTTAATATTATGACATCATACCCCTCATTCATTGGGATAAAAGCAGAGTAAATATAAATATTTTCAGGACAAAAACGTGCTCTTCTAACAGGACTTTCGTAACCACATACTTTAACAACAGCACTTGTTAACAAAATTATACGTAAAATTAACATTGTATTGTTTTTTATTATAATCTACTTCACTGCACTATTAAAAAATCCATGGTCTTATTAAATAATAAATAGTATAATTAAGTCAACAGGTATACTTAGATATTATTATAATTGAAATAATTCAGTTTAACACAACATAAATTACGTACGTATTCGCTATAACAGTATTATATGTAGTGTTTATGTGAGATGTTAGGAAACAAGTTACTGATAGCACTTGAACTTTCCTTGTAGTGGCTTGTGTTTATACTAGACTTGCATCAAATAATATATAATCCGGCCATACGCTGAATACCGAATATTCGGCAGGCTTTCTGGCCGAATAGCCGCATATCTTAAAATATTGTATAATATATATATATATATATATATATATATATATATATATATATATATATATCATACCGTTACGGATACATGAAACGCTCGCCATCGCGCGCGTATATACTCTGACGTCATATTCCGTCTGACCAATGGCGTTGCGTTTCAGTTACTTTGAATTTCCCACCTGTTTTTGCACTTTTAATAATTATTTTCTTAATCTAACGACACGTTTGGCTCAGTTTGTAGTGACACTATTTGTTGTGCCAGTGGTCGCGGGTTCGAGTCCCGCTGGGGGCATTCATTTGTGTGATGAGCACGAATGTTTGTACTCCAGTCATATGGGTGTTTATATTTATAATATGTATGTATTTAAAAGTTATATATGTATGTGTAGTGTATCAACTATCTGGTATCCATAACACACGCCTCGTAGCTTAGCATGGAACTAGATGGTGATGTGTGTTAATGTCCCAACATCTATATTTATTATTTTATTTAATCAAAAAGAAATTACATCAAAAAATATGAATATCTTAATTCAAAAACAATAAAGATTATAAAAAAATCCCCTTTCTTTAAATCACACGTATATTCCCTATTATTATCAGATTACAACAAAATATATTACTTACTAGCGACTCACCCTCGTCGTCCGGTTCGTCCCTAGCTTGATTCCCAATACGAAATTTCATCACCATTTTCATCCCCTTAAAAGATGATTTCCGGGATAAAAAGTATCCTATGTCCTTTCAAGGGCTTCAAACTATCTTCTTACCAATTTTCATTTAAATCGGTTCATTAGACTCAGATATTACCCGAGAAAAGCATCTAGATATTCGATATTCGGCCGAATAGGATAAAAGTAGCCGAATAGGCCGAATACCGAATAATAGCCGAATATTCGTTGCAAGTCTTGTTTATACATAAATAACTTATTATTAATTTGATGAAAAGTAGAATCTTTAATTTGTTTGAATAATAGAATTTTTTTCCTCCTGATAAGAGATCTTTTAAGGTTTTTATTATAGTCTGGGAAATCTAGGCCATAGAAAACTTTATGGGGTAATATAAAATAATTATAGAACATTTATTTACATTTAGGCTTTAATACTTCAGCCCTGATGCAAGGGATTTAAAGGCACCATCATATTTTAAAACATGTAACGGCCTGTCCGCACTGCGATATTTCACCGCACGTTTTTATTATCGCAATTCTGTAACACATTGAATCTTATAGGAATGAATTTTTAACGGTTAAACGGTTAAAAATTCATGCGGAAAAAAAATCTGTGATTTGATGCAAATTGAACGCGATGCGGCGCGGATATATTTCCGCGCGAATGTTTTGTAGGTACAATATATAGAAGTATGGCTATGGCCGCACTGCGAAATAAAATTCGCGCGTTTCGCTCAGTCGTGCACCGACGCTATTGGTTTATCAAATGATTTTGTAGTCATTCTGTAATATCCGAAAAACTTTTTACTGTATTTTCGCAGCTCTTGAACATTTAATGTAGAAAAACATCATTTTATATTACTAAAATGTCTCAGTAGATATAGTAGATTTATCATTTTAGACGTTTGTCTCAGTCGGGAACTGCATCAAACTGACAAAAATCGTACAAAATTTTATTCGCAGTGCGTAATAAGTACAATTTCGATCACGGAATGTAATACGCGAGAATAAAAATCGCGCGGTGATATATCGCAGTGCGGACAGGGCCTAAGTTTCATATTATTCGTTTGCAAAAGTCACAGAAAAAAACAAAATACAGTAGATAAAAAAGGGGATTCTCCGTTTATGCCTAATATCGTGAGAGTATTATTATGTAACAATTTAAACCTAATATGACATTGATGTTCACCCAATTTTTTAAGAACATATTTTTAAAAGTTTTCTAGTACGTATTACTACTTGTGATTTCTTGTAAAAGTATAAACAGAAATGTTTTACGAGTATTAAACACAGCGCCGAAAAATATTGCTTGTATCATCAAACTGATGCCACACTCTTCAAGAATTTATTTTTTAAATTGTCGTTAACGTCCTATGGGTTAAGTAAAAAAATAAAAGATTTGATTTACGTTTTTCATGTATTTCTTATAAGTATTTTATTATGAAATTACAATCTTTATTTCAGTTTTTAACATCAAACGATACTATCTTTATTGGTATTGGATATTTGAGGTAAATTTTCAAATTATTTATAAATAAGTATGTTAAGATTATATAATAATAAATTATAAAAAAAAACTAATAAAATTTTTACTAACAATATTTTAAATACAAAACTAAAATTTTGTCTAAATATTAGAAAACAAAAGTTCCCAGTTCTGAGCAATTTAAAATATGACTTTCTCAGATTTGATACTGTTTTTTCAACCAAACTCTCAAGACTTAAGATTTTATCAATAATTTAAATACCCACGTTTTTTTTAGAATAACAACTTTTTAACAAAAAATAAAAACCGACTTCCAAGTTCCAGGCATTAAAATGTAAAAAAACTTAAAAAATAAATAAAATAAAAACTGACTTCCAGGCACTAAAATGTAAAAAATAACTAAACGGGGGTTTTCACTTTGATTTGAGCTGTGATTTTGATGATTAAAATTATAAAAATGTTTCAAGTTAAAAAATATTGTAATGTAATTGGTGCAATTTTCATTTTGTTAATTGTGGGTAGGCTGTCTGTAACAACTATACCTTCAAGACATGTTACACCTCAGTCTCTCCCGTGACCATGGATGTTGTGAAGCATTCGAAACGTCAGGAAACAAAAATGCAAATAAATCCGCGACAAAATCAGAAAAGATAGTTTTATTTAAAATATTTATTGTTGTTTTTTTTTTAAACTGCTCGACCGATTTCGATAAAATTTATATGGGACCACCTGGGAAGTATATACCCTTTGAAACAAAAAAAAATTCGAAATCTGTTCAAGCGTCTTCGAGTAATCGATGAACATAATAAAAAAAAAGATTCCGATGAATTGAGAATCTCCTCCTTTTTGGAATAGGAAGTCGGTTAAAAAAGTAAAGGAAGTGAGTAAAGATCGCCCATTTTTCGCCCATTGGTAAATTCATATTATATTTATATTTTTGTAATAGAGATACTAAATCGATATGGAAACGCAAGGGTTTGTCAAAAAAATATTTTTTTAAATAGAGAAACAAGAAAAAAAAGGTATACGAAACTATTTATAACAAATGCCTTAAATTATATTTTCCTCTCGCTTTTACTGTCTGAATTCTTACTGGACCATCCGAGTCTAAGTTTGGTTATTGCGCTAGTACTCCAAGTACAGATGCTACATAAAAAATTGTTGGCTGCTATGCACCATGGCCAACAACTTTTTGCAAGAATCGCAGTGATTTCCAGGCCTAATTTTGGATAACGTGTTTATTAGTGTTCTCATACGTAGTACATAAATTATAATTACATGGATATTCGTTCAACCATTTCCAACTGAAGAACCATGATACAGTCAGTCTATTGATTATTTTAGATACCGTTGTTCTGGTTATATTCAGCCCTTTTTAACGCCCCACTGCCGGGCCACCACACTGGCCAAGTGTGGGATGGCGGACATCCCTTTCAAAAACTTGCTTGGTTCTCATAGATATGCATGATTCCTCGCGATGTTTTCCTTCAGCGTAAGACAATCATGTTGGAAATGATTCACATATGAATATATCTGAGTTGCGTGTATTTGAACCCGCTTCACTCAGTTTCCCAAGCGAGCGTGCACCACTGGGCTACCACTGCCTTTTCTGTTGTTCTGGTTAAATAATATTAATTGGTTTATTGAAATTACTTTATTACAAAAAATATAATATATAGATTTAATTGATGTATTATTTGCATCGTATTCAATTCATGTGATTCAATATCCAAGCTCGGTATTGAGCTACATCAGTAAAAACAGTGTAGGCGTTTGGATCACAAATGTCTGCGTCTTTTCGCACCAACGTGACTGATACTATTCCTTTGACGTACCAAGCTCCTGGTCTTTCTTTGACGTTAAGAAGATTATAATTTTTATCATCCTCTACAAATACTACGAGAGCACCGCCACTATCTCCATTACATGCAGAAGTACCTAAAAAATTAAGAGCTATCAATCGTAATCTTTAATTGTCACGTAACGTACATACATCGGACATACATATATCGGACTATTGATACAAATGCGAAAGTTTGAATGTTTATCTATGTTTGTTACTATTTCACGCGGAAGCGGATGGATTTGCATGAAATATAGAACACATAGTTGGAATAACACAAAGGGTGTTGGGCACATAGAGCAAGCACTTTAGCGAAGAGAGGTTAAGTGGTTGTACTAAATAGTTCAAGTTATAACTTAATTGGTAAGAAATAGTGACAATTTAAGCTGTATAATACATTAAAATCTCGAAATTAGTTCACCATAAGCATGGCACTATAGATATGTAAATTTTTTTACCATTACTATTTCCAGCACAAAATTTCTTTCCATTTAACATATTTGTATAAAATACCGGTTCGTATCTAATACAGGTCACATCTGATACTACGGGAATCGTTGCTGAACGAAGTTTTGTCGAAAGTGTTTCAGATTGGTCTATCCCCCATCCTACCACCTGAAAATATAAAACAAATTTTGGTAGCGCAATGGCAGGCGTGGTGGATATCTGAGTCAAAACTGCTTATGTGGTCTAGTGACCTGAATGTATGACTGCAGGTCTGGTGGTCCTGAGTTCGAATCATGGGCAAGACCGTGTTCAGCTATTGAGCATATCTGTTAAGAAAGTGTTAGTAAAAGCTATAGTTGGAAAGTTAGCCCGTGTTACACGCGCTGCACTATGAGATCTAATGCGCAGTTGGCTAGCCTCAGTAACTTGCCGAAATCCATCAGATGAATCAGGTTCGTTACCATACCGGAAAATGTTTTTATGTGCTATATAAATATTATCTATGAGTTGTCTTGATTGGTAAAAGCATTCATTAATTTTATATTTAGTATCAATTAATAATACGTATAAGCGCTTATATTATTAATTGAATATTTTAACATCGGATTACTCAAAATATAATCGAAAAATAAATAGAAAATTACTTATATACATCCACTTTTGTGTACAAATGCAAGAAAAGAATACTTGCCGTGCCAGTAATTTCAAGAGATGGTAATTCATCATAAATTTCGTCTAACCAAATACAAGCCGGTTGGACGAAGTTGTTAAAGAAGGCTTCTGCACTTAACTTCAATAAAGCGATATCATTGTTAAGACTTCTCCTATCAAAGTTATCGTGAATAATCACTTCGAACACCTAAAAATAAACAAAATATATTAGTTTCAATTAATGTTTTTTAAATAAATAATTTGCTTTAATTTGATGGTGATACCATATTTAAAACATCAGATTTTAGAAAAAAATAATAATTGTTTCTAATGCAATCCGTAAGTTATCAGTAAGGTTACATATATGAATATTATATGCTGACTTTAATATGTGATTCTACGCGTACCACGTACCATGAAATATGTTTGGTGGATTAAATGACTTTTCTAAATATGGACTGTTTATATTATTTCTATAGAATTTATTTAACAAAGTAATATTTAATAGAAAGTAATACACATTTTTAAAATTAATTATTCTTCGTTCTTGGATTTATATATAAAAAATAAATAAAGTTGTAATTGATTTCTTCTCATTAATTTCTTAATTTTTAATTATAAAAAATATTTAATATAAAGCGATTCAAAACATACAAAATATGAAAACGTGAGAGTAAATGAACATATATTATAGAAGCTTACAATTAAAAATTCTATGAGACGATATGAGATGAATAGCAAATGGATAATCTACTTTGCAGTCTACTATATAGCAAAGGAACAACCTCCCTGTATTGATTAGTATTTTCGATGCCATTGAGACGATATTTTCCAAGAATTACACCAAGAATTTCTGGATTGAGTGGCACGCCCCGGGTTGTAGTGCAATGAGCCGCTACGACAAAGTATTATTTAAAGTATAATATAAATAATTCAGAAGAATGACATATTAAAAATTAATTATCAAATTATAAATAAACTTACCTGTTAAAACTAAATATTTTGAAATCAGTGTACCTCCGCATATATAAGTTTGGTAGCCTTTGATAATTTTATTTATGGCGGCATGCCAAGGCCAGTGGCCTGCCTTGGTTGATGATCCACTAACAATTAATGGTAAAGGTTCATCGTTTATTTTTCGTCTGCCACAAAATTTGTCAGGTGCTTTAGGCCAAAACTTTATGACTCCAGTAGATTGTTCAAAGTATTGCTAAAATAATTGTATCAAATATTATATTATTAGTAACAGAACTCGCGGCTACGCCCGCGTTCAAGCTACAAAAAAAATTCTTTGGCTTTATATTATACAGCTACGCTAAGTATTTTTATAATATTGTTCATACAAAAACACTAAAATCGCGATTAAAAAAGGAGGAGTGGGGGTAGGACGGTAAAAAATACTTTGCGACCTATTCTCATACCTACCGAATATATTATAATAAAAAATCATTAAAATCATTAACACCGTGACATGAGATTTATATATTAGATTATAATATTGTCGTATCTATCTTTTCGTGGAATGAGAAATTGTGGTTTGGGATATTATTTTTTAAATAAGTTTCATCTTGCCTGGAGCATAATTCATTTATTTCCCGTTGTTAATAGATCATAAATGTTTTCACCTAGGACTGTGGATACCCATTAAAATATTTAGTAATAAGCAAACCTTACCCGATTAATATTCTTACAATTTTCTTCTCCATTTATTTTAACGCTAAGTATATATGGCGGTTGCAGAGGGTAGTCTTTTCCACTTACAGTAAAAAAAACATATTTTACATCTTCTAGCAGAACAAATGAAAAGACATTATCAATAAGATCTATTTCTGACGTAAATCTTGCTTTATCCTGAAATATAAATCTTTTGTAAAGAAATAATTATACTTTTAAAAAACCAAAAAAAAAACTTGCTTTTTACCAGCTGTATTGTACGGAACTGAGTATTGTATATTTGACTTAGTTATTGAACAGTTTAATTATTCATCACTTTAGTACGAATAGCTTGATAGTATAAGATTATTCATCATTTTGATATTAGGGTTTCACATTTATAAAGTTACTGGCGACTTATCCTCGCTACGCTTAGGTGCGACTTTAGTTCTGGTGATTTTGTTATAATTTCATGGGTTTTAATTTTTTTGCGTTAGACCCTAATTGTTATTCTAAAATAAAAATTGCCTAAGTTAATTCTTATAGCTGAAAGTCCCGTCAAAATCGGTCTAGCCGTTTCGGAGATTAGCCAGAACAAACAGACAGACAAGAAAAAAAATGTTTATTTCTTGTAAGTATTCGTATATAATTTCATAAGTATCTAGTAAAAATCTATTATTTTGACGCTAGCGATTCACCCTTGTTTCGCTCGGGTTCGTCCCTAGGGTGCTTCCCCATGCAAACTTACATCCCCATTTTCATCCTCTTAAGGATTGATTTCCTTCGATCGAGATAAAAACTATCTTATGTCCTTCCCAGGGTCTCAAACTATCTTCTTACCAAATGACATCTAAATGGGTTTGGTAGTTTCGGAGCTTATTCGGCACTAACAAACAAACAAAATAATCTTTCCTCTTTATAACTACTATTTATATTAGTACAGAAGTATAAAGGACCGGTAAAAAAGAGAAAAAAACATTAGGTTTGGTTACACGTATAAACTGATAAATTCGTTATAAAATCACGACCTACAACTGACAACACAATACATATAATAGGTAGTTATACAAAAACTATAAGAGAGAAAAAATAATAATAATTGTTAGAAATAATAGTTACAAAGTAACAGGTTAGGGGACGTACCTATACTACGTGACTCATTTCTTACAATTTTTTACTTTTTAACGTCATTTTCGTCATTTTATTTAAATACCTTTTTTGTATCTTAAATCTGTAATTTAAAATTAGATTTTAAAATAATTTTTGACTTGTATCGATCATTTTTTTATTTATCTATACATATAATAAAATTATAACTAAGCCGAATCTGTACATTAAATATTTTTTGGAAAATCTTATTGAAATAAACATTATTATCGATACAGAGGCTGAATCTATAGTTTATAGAATTTTTGTGTCTGTTTGTCTGTCTGTCTGTCCCTCCGTCCGTCTGTCTGTCTGTATTTAATATGTTGACCGGGGATATAAGGTACCACCAAGCAAAATTTCATTTAAATCGGTTTAATAATTTCGGAGATTAGCCGCACAAACACACAAACAAACAGAGAAACAAAAAAAAATGGAAAAATCTGAATTCGTTTTATTTCTCTTCTTATATATGTATAGATTACAAACAGACACTTCAATTTTTATGTTGTTTATTTGTTTGAATAAAGCCTAAAATCAATACAACAATTAGAAGCATGTTTGATTTTGACCATGATTTGATTATATAATTAGTAGGAAAATAAAACAATATAAAAAAACACTTCGACGCCTTACGAAGCCGAATGTAGTAGAAAGGGTCAAAAATTGCTTGTTTTAGTTCTTCTAAGGTTTTGGTTTACTAACGGCTTATATAAAAGCTATCTCATGTAAGGGATGGAGTATTGGATGTATAGAAAAAGTAACCTAACGTCAAATGATAGGGAGAAAACATGCTGAGAGATTGTCGATACTTATACATAACATAATTTAACTCTATGGCACGTTTAAGCAAATCACAACAAAAATACGGATCTCGCCTTTTAGTGCCACTTATTATCTCGTCACTGTAAATTAACATAGGAAATAGTTTCGGAATTACTTACAAGTGATAAGCTTCCAACAGAATCAAGTTTCACTTTTATTTCCGTAGCAGCTTTCAATGCTCTTGTTATCCATACAACATATCCATCGTATAGTGAGGGTCCAAAAGTTGAGTAAATGTCCTCAATTTCTGGACAAAATCGCCCCACATAAATAGGTTTACTGTGGCTTTGTGTACACAAAGTTATATGAACAACACTTAATGATAAAATTATTGGAAAAATTACCATTATATTATTCCATTTATTACAATTCTATGGAAAAGTTTCATGTTTTATTATAATTTGTAAATAAATAAGATTTAAAGTATTAAGAACATCAAGATCGCGTATGTGTTATAATATAAGTTGATATATAACGTCTGTGTCACGTCTTCGGAAAACAATTATCTATAAAATATATTTGACCTTGTACTAAGTTGGGTTCGTAAATAATGATTTTGTGATAAAGAGTCGTATGACATATTTTTTTTATAGATGTTTTCGCTAGTGTCTAAGATAGCTTATAATTTGCATCTGGACCATAAAGCGTATATTTTATATTATTTATTGTGGGTGATTTATGGTATATGTTAAAGATGAACCAATATGGTTGAACATGGCTCCACTAAGAGCATGATACGTGCCCCCCAACGAGCGTTCACCTTGTCGTGGTTGAGAGGCTCAGTAGTGCCCGCAATCGAGCTGGGCGCGAAGCCAAGAAACACACAATTAGGTGGCCCACCTCGGTGGGTAGTGTACCATTCGGGTTGCTCCTAGTACTTCTCTGATAGCAGAGCGAACTGTGGAGCAACCCCATAGTTGTTGTAGTCTGCTTCGGCAGACCTGCCGTCGGGGCGTCGTGGTTGCGTAAGCGATCCTGCCACGCCCCATTAAGACGGGGGAGGCTCCGTTGGGTTTTAGTGGGTAGTACTGGCTTTGACGGTGAGTCCTACACCTCGTGCCTAAATGCATTTCCCAACGTTAAAAAAAACGAGCTCGGTACGTGCGGGAATCGTTTCGGTGACTTTAAAGAGCGAAAAAAACTATGTTTCCGTATGTGATCCTAAATCCTAATAGATACAGAGTATTTATAGATGTCGCTATATACCTATAAGGATTGGATTCGTAATCATAATATGAACCGTAGCGTTATGGAATGTATATAAATTACTAGCGACTTACCATCAGTTCATTTCGCGTTCGTCCCTAGAGTAAAGAGTAAAACAAATCTATCCCACGGGAACGGCACATTTTTCTGGATGATATATAGCCTATATATAGCCTACCTCAATAAACGGGCTCTCTAACGCAAAAATAATTTTTCAAATCGGATTACTTAGTAGTTCCTGAGATTAGCGCGTTCAAACGAAAAAACAAACAAATAAACTCTGTCGCTTTATAATATTAGTATAGATGTCTAATAAAAATATAAAAGTATTATTTTGATTATATTTACTGGACATTTTGACCGTATATACTATACTTACATAGGATACTATACATATACTTACATGGGAGACCATCTTGTAAAATTGTAAATTCTCCCTTTAGTCAACCTACCTTTTTAATATTTAATTTTGTATGAAACTCTTAGGACTCGAGGCCTATTTTAAATAAAACTACATTTTTATCATTTTTAAAATTATCAAAATGTTTAAAATTACAATTAACAAATATTGTAAGGTACTTTGGTGTCATTTTTGTATTTTTTGAATTCATTTTGTCATTTTGTGGGTATGCTGTCTGTAACAACTCTCCCTTGACCATGATTGATGTAAAGCATTCGAAAGGTCGGGAACCAAAAATCTAAATAAATCCGCAAAAAAATCCGAAATGATAGTTTTATTTAAAACTAGCGACTCACCTTCGCTTCGCTCAGGTTCGACCCTAGGTACGTTTTGACGCTTAGTATGGAATAGATATCTTTTTCAGATTTTTTCCGATGTTTTAATACTTATTATCCTATTCCGGACCAGGAGAAATCCAAAAAAAAACAAATATTAAAAAATTGGTCCAGCCGTTCTAAGTGTTGTACCTAACACGAATTTATTTTATATAGGTATATAGATGTCAAATAATAGCGTAGATCGAATCCTATTGTCCGATATGATTTCTGTATCTACTTGTTTTAGTGAGATTAGCCACCGTGTTCAAAACTTCACTTGTACGATCCTTTTTAGCAGAAGGAAATATAACAGATATAATGATATGACAAGAATGAAGAATACCCAAAGTGAATATCGAAATATTCAACTAAACGTATGTAAAGGTTCTGAACAACAATCATTTTCATTGGCAAACTATTGCGTATATTTTTTTTAGAAAAATATTACGCAATATTTTCATATTTTCTTTGAGTTCTCTAATTGAAAAGACATTTATGATGTCTTAACATATTTATTTGTCACCAGTACATTTTCAAGACTATTTTCAATTTTTAGAATTATTATATGTAGTGCTTAAATGTAACATAGACTTGCATAATTAAGGTTCCGTATCCTCACCTATTATAGTTATATATACCTACAATATGCGATAGTTTTAAAATAAGTATTTATAACAAATACTATTTAAATTATTTAGGCCGACTCGCACTTGGCTAGTTTTTGTCATTTGTTGTCTTTATTCTATAATATCACCAAGTAAATGGGTAAATACGTTTAATTAATTCAGATTATTAAAATTTAAAGAGAAACAACAGTACGAAGTGGTCGCTAGTATACGTAGGTACTATATTATTAATTATGTTAGCTTCAAGTAAGAGCTGTAAGAGCGACTTATCAAACAAGATAACACAGTTCACATAAAAGTATATATAAATAAGAAAATCAAAATTAAATATAAAAATGAAAGGTAATATTATGTTACAATTGTTCATATTAATGGTTTTTATAATTAAAGTACAAGCCTACTATCCTCCTTGGATACGATATATGTACACATTCTACCAAGGAGTTCCTTGGTATACTGAATATTTTTGCAACGACAGTAGCGACCTAGTTTTAACTTACGACGGTACTCGGACGTCTACTTATTATGTGTGGATAAACGAAATATTAGATGCTGGCACCGAAGTTACAGTGAAATTTGATGCAGAAGCTGCTATATATATCGTAAGTAAATACTATTTCTATAATACTACTTATATCAATACATTATACAGATAAATAAAATTGAAGTGTCTGTTTGTAATGGTAAATACCATCTAATACTATTTAGTAAACATATAAGAAACAATTTTTAAAATTTTTGTCTGTCTGTCTGTTTGTTCCGGCTAATCTCTGATACGGCTGGACCGCTTTTGACGGAACATGCACTGGCCAAAAGCTGATGTTATAAGGAGTAACATAGGCTACTTTTATTTTAGAAAAAAAATCAGGGTTCCGCAAAAAAATTATCATACCTAGGGAGCACCCGATAGAAACGAGAGTAAATCGCTAGTTATTAATATACATAGTTACTAGGTAAATTAGTCATTTGTTGATTAGTATATCGATTCAAATATCTACAAATACCTACCTACATTATATATTAGTTACGCTTTCGGCTCCGTTTGCTTATAACGGGCAGGACGCACTGTTCAAATACCCTAGGAAGATACATCTTGAGGGATTGTGGGATCGATGACTTCAAAATATGACGCAATCTCCCGAATGCAAACCGACGTAAATGTATTTTGCTGTTAGTCTTCCATCTCACCTTCTCAAAGATGTGCCGGCTATGTTCTATAATTTTGTCCAGATGCTTTCCTGCACAACTTCGAGTGGAGAGCCATTTTTCCGGCGATGCAATAGGTTAGTCTTGTGCTTTAATCTTGTACCTAGACAGTTATGGTTGCGGTTTCGTATACACATATTACCACCTGAACGTACTGACAGTCAATTAGGCATCTGCATGGATTCTAGAACAGCCCAGGTCTCAATTGTTTCGAACGCTTTTGCATAGTCCCAAGCGCTGGGCATAAAGGCTGATTATTACCTCGTACCTCGTTTTTTGTATTATGCCCTAAGTGTATACATACGTATATGTGGTCTACGGTGCTAAATCCTCTTCGGAACCCAGCTTGTTCAATGGTTATTAAAAAGAACTTTATCACCCTTCTTGAAAAACAATACCAGTACACCTCTGTTCCACGCCTTGTTTCTGTATTTTTATATAATTAAATGTATAATTTACAGTTTTTATTAAAAATGTAATATATCTTTACAATTTCAAATAAAAAAAGCAGTCATGAGGACTGCCGACAGAAGTGAAAACTTAAAACTATAAACAAATAGTTGTTATTTTTGGATATTCAAATTAATTGTTTGATATTAAATTAAAATATTTATAAATTAAAACTATTTACATTTATCTGAATTACGAAAATAAGGGTGCTTGACGTCATTTTAAAATATTTGAAAATAGAAATCTAAATAACTATATGGGAATGACATTTTGATTCTAGGACTCGACATGCTTATCATTTCAATGTAATTTAATAAAAAAAAAAAAATTAAACATTTACAAAATCCTAAGTTCCCTTTAAAAATATTTTTAATTTGATTTTGAAATCAGTTTCTTTAGTGAAAAAGTCACAATCTTGTTTTATACGAGTAGCTGTGATGATGATAAAATGGTATATAACCTCTGAACTTTGTTAAGATTATTTATGTATTTATCAATTAAGAATGGCACGTCAAAGATACTTCAGAAAATATTTACTACACTTTGTTTTTCGACAGAGATTTCAATAAATATAATACACATCAATCTTAATCTTTTGTAATGAATACTGAAAACAAAAAAAAAACAAAAACTATGATATTAATGTCATACCGTAGGTTCTTCTAGTTGTAAAGGGATCCCCCCCAATGTGCGTTCACCTTGTCGTGGTGGGGGGGCTCAGTAGCAGTAGCGAAGCTAAGAAACGCACAGGGAGGTTGCCCACTTCGGTGGGCGGTGGGAGGTGGCCCTCTTCGGAGGGCGGTGTACCATGCGGGTTGCTCCTGGTACTTCTCTGATAGAAGAGTGGACTGTGGAGCAACCCCATGGTTGTGGTGGTCTGCTTCGGCGGACCTGCCGTCGGGGCGTCGTAGTTGAATGCGTAAGCGATCCTGCGACGCCCCATTAAGACGGGGGAAGGTTTTGTTGGGTTTTAGTGGGTAGTACTGGCTGTATTACGCCGGTGAGTCCCACACGTCGTGCGTAAATGCATTTCCCAACGGTAAAGGGATACTTTTACATTTAATTATAAAGAAATGAAACTTCGATATATCAAAAACCTTAAAAATTCTTAAATTTTGTTTACTTTTGAGTTATTGGAACTTTTGAATTATGGGAGCAAGTATATATAAGACCGATAATATGCAAACATTCTGCGCCTGGCCGATGTAAACTAATCTTAAATACTTTAAAACATTCTGTTCCAGAATCATAACTCTGATACGAAGAAGAATTCAAGATTTACGAAGGAACCGGACAATATTAATAATGTTTATACATTCGAATTTACTAATAAAACTGAAAAAGTTCGAGAGCTTTTTAGAGTAGAAGGAAACACAGCGGATCATCAAATACATATTACAAGTCTTAATATTAATGGTATTGAAAAATGTCACAACCCTGTTATGGTATTGAAAATTTCAAGTATTACTTTATTAAATATTTACATTATTTATAATAACTTTATGCATTTAACTTACATTTACTTTAATTTTTTCTCCAAATCTCTTCGTTTCGATAGCATTATATATACACTGATTTGCTTAAAAAAAACTTAAATTTAGATTTTTATTTTTATGGTCAGTTTCAATGATCTTTTTTGTGTTTTTTGGCTTATGATAATTAACCTATTAACATTAGAGTCTTGAAAGAGCAAATTCAGCCAATTTAGAAAACCTTTAGTACAGTATAACTAAAAATGTCAAAAATTGAACCTTGAAAAATTATATTTCGTACAATTTTCTGTGACACCTACTCCAATTCTTAAATAAATCTCATAATTAAATTATGAAAATAAACTATCTTGCTGCTATCAAAAGGAGAGGATCAGAAACTAGTTTTCTGTATATAAACGAAATAGAAGAAGAAACAAATTAGATCTTCTTTGACTGAAATCTTATCGAAGAAAAATTAATTTATCAAAGAGCCCGAATAGACTAATACCTAAAAGAAGGCATAAAAACGTTAGATCTTGTACAACTATAGGTTTCAAGGTAATGTAACTATGAACGAAATACATGAAAATAAATATACTTCCACTCATAATAGGAAATCTTTGGAACCAATAACCCGAAATACCGCTTTCTTCCTGAAGCGCCAGATAAATCTTGCGGCAGGCGAAAGTTAAATATGAATACCATACAAAATCCTCTAATTGTAAGTGGATCGTCGACAGAACCTGGCATGTGGCCTTGGCACGCTGCATTATATAAACTACAGAACGGCGAGTTAACTTACATCTGTGGAGGGACCCTCCTTTCAAAACACTTGGTTTTGACTGGTATGTATCTCGCTAAACTTTTATTGAATCGGAAATACTACTATGTTTATTTTAGCCAATATATTACAAAAGTATAAAATATTGCTTTTTATTTTTCAGCTGCTCATTGTGTAACTAGAAATGGTGTCAAGCTTAATTCAGAAAGTCTTGGAATAATTCTCGGAAAATATTACCTTTTCGGAAATGATATAGCTACTCAAACAGTTGAGGTTGGATTTAAGTCTACAGTTACTTAATTAAAAGAGTTAAATATTCCCAAGAATACAATTAATTCAATTTTTTTATTACAAAAATCAAAATCTATTTTTAGGTGCTCGAAATAATAGTTCACGACGAATATCATCATAGAAGCCTAAATAATGATATTGCCTTGTTGAAATTAATGACTGAAGCTCGTTATAATAACTATGTGCAGCCAGCATGTCTGTGGTTTGATGGGATTTACGATGTATTCGGCACCTATAACGTTGTGGGCTCGGTATGTGAGAATTTAAGAAATAATTTCGTATTTTAATAGACTTTTAAAAATTATATTGTACTTAGATTGTAAGGTTTGGTATTAGTAAGATTTCTCAGAGATGAGATATTTTCCCGCAGTAAAAAGTATTCTATATGTTGACTCGGATAACCAGGTATCATCATACTAAATTTCATCAAAATCCCTCCACTGGTTTTTCCGTGATGCAGCAACAGACAGACAGACAAACAGACAAAAATTCTAAAAGCTATAGATTCGGCCTTGATTGATAATACTGTCTATTTCTATAAAATTTTCCAAAAAATATTTAATGCACAGATTCGGCTTAGTTGTAATTTTATTATATGTATAGATGATAAGTACAAGGATTATAAAGTTCATTTTACCTTTTGACTTTAGGTTGTTGGTTGGGGCTTTGACACGAAGGATACGCTGACTAAGACGTTAAACGTAGTCACTATGCCCCAAGTTGCAGATGTTACGTGCATTCTGTTTCAACCCATTTTTTATCAAAAATTATTGAATGGCAAGAAATTCTGCGGTGGGCTCCAAAATGGTAAGCTAAATAATGATCATAAGCTAATACTAAAATGTAGACAAATATATTGTTGTATATTTGTGCAATAAATGAGGTCGTTTGTGTTACTTTAGGTGCTGCACCGTGTAATGGAGATAGTGGGGGAGGTTTTGTGGTGTATGTTGAAGACTACAAACCACCGAGAAGTTTATTATTTGCCCCTAAAGGTTCAGGAGCATGGTACGTGAAGGGAATCGTTTCGGTAACTTTAAAGAGCGAAAGAGACGATGCCATCGTGTGTGATCCTAATGGGTACACAGTGTTTACAGATGTCGCTATATATAAAGACTGGATTCTCAGTTATATGAACAATAATGGATAAAATAATACTGTACCTCATCCCATACAAAGAAATTGATTGACTCTCAATTTATCTGAATGACGACGATAGATGGTGATGATAGCCCGTATACTGATAAAGTATATTGTTTTATGAGAAATGTGTAAAATATAAAAAATGTAAAGATAAAATAAATGTCGGAGACATAGGCTTCTCCACACTCTGCCATAGCTAGTCACTGAACTTGATCTTCAGCTCTACGCTGCTAACCGTAGCTAGCCACTTTGTGTATACATATATTGTCGCTAAGTCTTGCTGATGTTATACGTTGGACGAGCCGTAGTTTTCACTGTAGAAAGCAACTACTACTCTATCGGTCATCAGTTTTGCGACAAATATGCCCAGCACACGCCACTTCAGCTTATTAACTGCTTGGACTATGTCGATAATTTTTATTCTTCGGTTCGACTTCGGATCCGATCCTTCAGAGGAAGTCAGAACATTAAACTACTCGACAAAGCAACACAATTATTCCATTAAGAGCAATCGATATGGGTATTACATGTTCATTGAACTTAAAAATCTTGGAGTTGTCTAAATTTATTCGGAGATCTATGTGTGCTGAAGAATTGGCTCATAAAATGCAAATAAAAAAATGAAATCTAAAAATACCCAGTAAAATGTATTACCCAATAGCTAATGTCTCAATCGTCTGTTAAATTATGGAAATTTAAGAATCCAAAATTTGATATATTAAGGATATTCTACTAAATAAGAGATTTTTTAATATTAGAATATAAACTTATAGGTTTCAGATACTTTTTTATTTCATCCTTTATTATACAAAAATATCAAAATGTAAAAATAGCACAAAAGCAAGACACACTAATTAAATTTAAGGTGTAAAACGACCTTATCACCTGTACTTGGTGAAAATATAGAAAAAAAACATAGTGTATAACTTAATATACAACAATGTCCAATAATAAAATATAAACATCAACGACAAATTAGTATTTATTATGCTTTCTATAGATTTTTTTAAACATTTTTTTCTTTCTTCCTGGTGAGTTCTTGTGATGTAAAATGTTAGCTTATTCTATTTTTAAACACATTAGACCAATATATTAAAAATAAAAAATTAGGAGGGTAGTATTAAGTGTTTCGACAATAAGTAAGATAAGGCAAGTTCCACAGTACACATGGAGGAGGGTGATTATATTGATTTAAAATTTGAATTATATATATATTGGTAATCATGTTAGAAATATCAGAGGTGCGAGACTCGGGATTTGAACCCGCTTTATTCGGTCTCTTAAGCGAGCGCGATACCACTGGGCTACCACTGCCGAATTATACGATATACGAGTACCTTAATCTAAATGTGGAATATCTATACTAAAGGATCAATGAAATACAAGGTAAAATAAAAACCAAGGATAATGATGCACTATTATTCTTGCATTGGTATGTACATGGTATGCACCATTATTCATACAGAGTAAAAAGAATGCATGTATTCTTAGCAATAAGATTTCTTAGTGTTGTTTATATAAAATATTTAAATGTATTTATATGTATATCATACAAAATTTCTGGCCATCTACTATTTTTTATAATAAAATATATATATTTAAAATAAAAAATAATGCAGCTAAAGCAATTCTATTAAAGTACTTTAAATTATTTTCACAATTTTTCTTCTCAACTTTTGTATATTCAAAAGTGATCGATGGTTTCAATATCTAAGATTATGTTGAATAAATTTTTGTAACTAATAATAAGAATTTGCGAGTCGTTTCGTGGATATTATAACTTTAATGATACAAAAAAAATGTTAACAACGGCAGTAAGTAGCAGTCTGAATGAATAAATCATGACTATATTTTTTTAAATGTACCTACTAATTCACTTACTTTGCGTTGGCTTGGTAATCCAAAGCGAGTCCTGGCCTCTAACACTACATTCCACCATTTTTTTCTAACCTGAGCAGCTTTTTGACAATCGAAATTGGCTTCGAAGCTGGCACAGGCCTTTTTAAATGTACAACAGATTATATTATCAAACTCCAATTTACATTTTATTTAACATATATTTAGACGCAGGTGTACATCTAGTGATGAAAGGTGGTTAAAAAAAGATTGTACGTTGTTTTTGAAAAATTATTGTTCAATCTACAACTCTATCTATAGTATAGAAAGCCATATGGGAGACTTATAATAATGATATTTTTCCTCATTACTTAATTTCATTAACATCATTAATAACGTGGCTTTTTTTAAAAGTGCAGAAATTATGACCTGATTCTCTATCTAGGATATGCTTCAGTTGAAGCAACTCCTCAACGGCTAACAGTACAGACACCAAATTTTATATACACATTAAATTATTATAGCTCGTTCTAAAGTTCACTATGACTTGAATGCTGCGTCCAGGGTTGACTTCAAATGAAAGAGAATCTCCTCAGCAGGCAATAGCACAGATACAAAATTTTGTATACATATTCAATAGTATCAGCTCCTTCTAAAGTCTTTCATGACCTGGCTGCTACACCAGGGTATGACAGATCTTCTCAACATTCGATTGCCGGCACGAAATTTTATACACGCATTCAATTATTTTTAGTTTTTTTTATTATTATTTTATTTTATATCAAAATTGTAATACACAAAGTTATAGAAAAATCTTACATAAAATATGCTTGAAGGGATGTATAAATGAAAATAAGTATCGTCGTTGTTGCTATATAATTTTTTTTCGTTTTCCTTTTATATAAATTCAAAAATGCTTGTAATAAGTTTAATTGAATAAAGTTTATTTCATTTCATTATACCGGCATGCACTTCTAATAAAATACAACATTTTTAGTTACCTAAAGCAATCATCTCAACAATAACTAAGTTATTAATCTTTCTTATATAAATAAAAATGAATGTTGGTAAGCGCATAACTCAAGGATGGCTGGACCAATTCGGCTATTTTTTTCGCATGTTCCTTAAGATCCACGGAAGGTTTTAATAAAACGAAAAAATGAAAAATTATCGAAAAAAATATATGGCTAACGCTGGCTAATAACTATTTATAATCTATTCAAAACGTACCTTGCGACGAACCCGAGCGAAGCGAGGGTGAGACGCTAGTAGTTCATATAATTAAGAATCCAATCTCTATATTTAAGGACATCTGTAAATACCGTGTATCCATTAGGATCACATACAATAACACCATTCCTTTCAGTTCTTAAAGTAACAGACACGATTCCCTTCACGTACCACGCTCCTGGTCCTTTCGAGGTGGATTGCTCATAGAAATTTTTTTTTGGTGGCTTATAGTCTTCAACAAATACCATAAAAGCTCCTCCACTATCACCATTACACGGAGTGGTACCTAAAACCACACCAGTTATCTCTTTTAATACATGAATTTATATTTATATTGTCATTGTATTATTATATTAGTTTACCATTTTGGTATCCAGCGCAGAATGTTTTTCCATTCAACAATTCATGATAAAAGACGGGTTGAAACAGAACGCAAGTAATATCCGGAGTTTGAGGAATTGTATCAATGTTTAAGGTTTTATTCAATGTGCCCATCCCATCAAAACCCCAGCCAACCACCTAAAATATTAATAAAAGGGATTAGTAAAATTCAGTTCTTATAGTGAAATAAAAATATTTTGCTTTAATTACCACTTAGAAAGGAGAAAAATAGTTCGTTTACGTTTTCAAACCACTTTCCTCCAGCTTGGTATGCATAATAATGTATGCAGTTAAATATATACAACTAGTTAATTAGAACACGAAGTTCATGTAATCTATACATATAATAAAATCGTAACTAAGCCGAATCTGTACATTGAATATTTTTTGGAAAATTTTATTGAAATAGACTTTATTATCGATACAGAGGCCGAATTTATACTTTTTAGAATTTTTGTCTGTCTGTCAGTCTGTCTGTTACCGCATCACGGAAAAACCACTGGAGGGATTTTGATGCAATTTGGTATGGTGATAGCTAGTTATCCGGGTCAACATATAGAATACTTTTTACCACTGAAAAATATCTTATTTCTGAGAAAAAATACAAATACTGCAATGTAAGAGTATACTAATATGTGAAACCTAAGAATTTGGTTTTTCTCATCTGAATGCGGGCAGAGCCGCGGGCAATGCTAGTAAGTTATATATTGTAATTATTTTATTTAGCGTCATCATATGCGTACGTTATAATATTTGTCGAAAAAAATCTTAAATTAGAATTGTTGCCATACAGAGCCTGTAATTTCGTGGGTGCCGATCACGTCGTAAATTTCATCGAACCACAGGCAAGCTGGTTGCACATAGTTACTATAACGAGCTTCAGTCATTAACTTTAGTAAAGCAATATTATTGTTTAGATTTCTATGATTGTATTCGTCATGCAAAATTATTTGGAACACCTGAAACAACATTTAAAATAATATTTTGGTGCAATAATTTTTGTCTATAGTTATGACGTAGGTACTCCAGAATTAGCGAACTCGTTTGCAAAACCAAGTGCAGCGTGTTCATACCCCGGGTCACCCAATACTGAAATTTTCATATCAAATCAGTTTAACGCGATTACCATTTGCCTTATAGTCAAAAATCGAGAGAAAACCTGCATGTCTGAGAGAACCCAACTAGTTTTCAACAGACATGTAAAATTCGCCTGCTTTTATTTGGCAAACATGGGGACGTTGACGAGAGATCTACGTATATTAATCTATGTATGTTGGTATGTTGGTACTTTAATAAAAGATGATCATTGTGTTAACCCAGAATATGAGCTAGCTTAATTTTAAATTGCCTCCATGTCAGCTGAGTCGTAACAGGTTACAAAAAATACATTTAAAAATTTAATCAGATATTTGTTACCATCAGATATAAATGAGATATTTAAAAAAAGTCACAATAGACCTATGGCTTAATAATTCCATAAAAAACTGTAAAGACGATGAAACTGTAGAAAATCAAACCTTAACTGACTGAGCACCTGTGTCATTTCCATAAAGATAATTCTTTCCGAGAGCTACTTCAAGAATTTCTGGATTATATGGTCTGCCACTTCTAGATACACAATGAGCAGCTGAAAAATACTAAGTACATTTTAAAAACTTTGATATTACAAATGATAGATAACAGTTTTTTGTAACTACATCGTATTTTAATTTATGTATCCCACATACCAGTCAAAACTAAATGCTTTGAAAGCAGAGTCCCTCCACAAATGTAAGTGAACATGCCCGTCTGTAGCATATATAATGCAGCGTGCCAAGGCCACCAACCTTGTCCTGTTGCTGATTCACTTGCAATGATTTGATGTTGCAAATTATTATCTACATTTATCTTCCGTCTGCCGCAAAATCTGTCCGGTGCTTTCGAAAGAAAATTGTACCTCGTGTGAAATTTTCCAAAAACTTCCTGTAATCATTGAAAACGTGGTATCATAAAATAATCTGTTTGCGTTATATTTTAAGTGTAAGACTAATTTTTAACTAATTTGCTATCCTCTTGTAAATTTGATTTAATAATTAATCAGTGCTGATTAGTTCATTACGATATGATACTTTTGGAAAGTATTTTTAAAACATTTATTTTTGACTGTCAAATTGTTTCCAAAAAATTATTCTATTATAATATGATGTCCATTACTGTGGTATAAGTAGATTCATTTTTGCAAGGTGAAGAAATAGTCTACTTAAATCACGTGTAGGTACGTGTAATGTTCGTATAACTTAGGTTACACATTGCTATAAATAAAAAAAACTAGTTTTAGCACTCATCTATATTTTTCCACGAGTGCAAATTGTTAGAATAATTAAATGTACACTTAATACAATAAAATTGACTGTAAAAAACTGTTTAAAATATCGGGTATATAAAGAATTAAATAAAAAAATATTACTCGTATATAATACCATATCAGGGTTGTGACATTTTTCAACGCCATTAATCTTAAGACTTGTAATATGTATTTGATGGTAAGGTGTGTTTCCTTCCACCCTAAAAAGTTCACATAGTTTTCCAGTTTTGTTAGTAAACTCAAATGTATAAATATTATTAATGGTATCCGGCTCTTTTGTAAATCTTGAATTATTCTCCGTATAAGATTTGTGATTCTGAAACAAAATTTTTAAAAATACTGAAGTATTACATACTTTGTTTGCAATGTCCTCCTGAGGATGAATATTCTTATCTACAATTACACTTTCATTTTTTATTTCCTTACTCTAGACAAACAAGAAGAAATCTATCCTACGGGGACCGTACCTTTTTCCGGGATAAAAAGTAGCCTATTTGTTACTCTGATGTATGAACTATATTATTGTAAAGTTTCATTAAAATCATATCATAGTATCATAGTTTTTGTGTACTAAGCTATACTACTATAGTTTTTTAACTATACCACGGGAATCTTTTAATTTTCCGGGATGAATGGTATCTAAAATGTTGACCGGGGATATAAGGTGCCATGCAAAATTTCATTTAAATCGGTCGAACAGTTTCGGAAATTAGCCCGTAAAAACAGACAAACAGACAGACAGAAAACTTTTCACCGCGGGAGATTCTCTGATTCCCACGGGGAAACACGTTATAAAACAATCCAAAAAAATATTTGTGATCAGAATTTCTTGAAACTTGGTATTAATGCTCTTCAATAAAATTAAATTAATACATGTTTTAACATTTTTCGAAATTCATCCTATAAGGGGGTAAAATAGGAGATGAAAGTTTGTATGAAACTACCATTTTAGAGGTTTTTTGTAGTTTTAGCGCGAGCGAAGCCGCGGGTTCTGCTAATTCTATATAACGATACAAATAAGAAAAATGTTAATTAAGTTTTCGGGATAGTCGAGTTAGAAATGTTATACCATGTCGGGACCATGGAAATAATAAGCCTGAAGTACTAATACTTCAGTTATATGTACATAGTATATTCTTTATTGCACTTATGAAACAAAATATTGATAAAAGGACAAAAGCAAATGTGAAATTTACTTACACATAATATGTTAAACTTAGTAGATTAGATAATAAATAGGCACTATTGATTGTTTCCTATCAAATATTTGTATTATTATTTAAACATAAATTATTAGGAAATGACAAAAGCATAAACGTGTCGTCGTTAGACACAAAAGAACATTAAATGAATTACGAAATACAAATTTTTTAGTACAAGTAGATGGTAAGTCGCACTAATTCAGTAGCCACCTATTCACTCTTGCCTTGAAGACACCCATATTATAATCGGACGGAAACACCGACGCAGGCAGGTTGTTCCAATCGTTGATAACATAATTTTAAAGTAACAAGAAGGTTATGGCGATATTATCGTTTTAAGTAAAATAATAGTAACAATAATGGAACAACTAAAGTGGGAATCATTATAGGTAATAAGTATTTATTTGTGGATAGTCTAGTCATAACCTGGGATCAACTGAATGACTGGGTTTCATTTACTTGTCCTTGTAACAATTGTACGATCTGATCTAGAATTGATACAATAATTTAATTAACTTACAATAAATATCGATGCTTCTGCGTCAAATTTCACTGTTATTTCTGTTCCAGCAACTAATACTTCATTAATCCACACATAATAAGTTGAAACTTCAGTAGCCATAAAAGTTAAAACTAAGTCATTATTGTCTTTGCAAAAGTATCCATCATACCAAGGAACTCCTTGGATAGTTTTAAATGTACGTATCCAAGGTGGATAGTAACTTTGGGCTTCAGTTATATAAAATAATAATAGTAACAGCTTGAATATTTTCACTTCCATCATATGATTTAATTTTTAATATATTTATGTTTATAGATGACTTGTTATCTCCTATTATAACGTCACTGTTACTCGAAGGTTACATAGTTAATGATATATGATAGTGAATAACTCCAGCGTCATCTGTTTGCGAATATAATTGTTCTTGACTACCATAAATGAGAAGAAGGGAAAATGAGATTGTCCACAATTTATCAGTTATTCTTTTTAAAAATATAAAAATAAGAAACAACAGACTGTATAGACCAATCGAAATCCGTTTATTTTTAAGAGAATTTTTTTATTGAAAACCTGAAGTTTTATGATTTTAAAATGTTAACAGGTATAAAAGGAATAGAAATTCATAAAATGCCCCCTCTGCCGAGCTACCCCCGAGAAATGGGAGGACGCAAAGCGTTGAAAAATAGTTTTTTTCAATTTCCGGCTTACTGTGATGTTCTATCGAAAAATGTTTTTTAGTAAAAATCTACAACTTTTATAAATATTACTTTTTACAATAACCTCAATGTTTTCGAGATATTTTCAAGAAAACTCGGTTTTAACTTTTTCTTAGTTTTTTATTTTTAATTTCTAGAATAATCTTATTCTAATAGACTAATCTCGAATATATAATATAATATCAGTAAAAAATCGACATAAAGGATATAAAAATATTTTTTAAATCAAAAATAAAAAAAAAATTAACTAATGAATAAATAAGATTAGACTACGAGTGGATTTCATTTCTTTCTGTAATTAAATTAAAATCAAATTTTACAGAAAAATCAATAAAATTAACTCCAAAATCAAATCCAAATAACAATTGTAAGGTATTTGGGTACATTTTCATTTTGTTAATTGTGGGTAGGCTGTCTGTAACAACTATATAATATACTAGCACTGCCCGCGGCTCTACTCGCGTTCAGATGACCAAAAACCAAATTCTTAGGTTTTACATATTAGTATACTCTTACTTTGCAGTTATGCAATTTTTCTCAAAAATTAGATATTTTCCCGCAGTAAAAAGTATCCTATATGTTGACCTAATTTCATCAAAATCCCTCCAGTGGTTTTTCTGTGATGCGGGTTACCGCAGACAGATGAGACAGACAAAGACAAAAATTTTAAAAACTATAGATTTGGCCTCTGTATCGATAATAATGTTTATTTCAATAAAATTTTCCAAAAAATATTTAATGTACAGATTAGGCTTAGTTACAATTTTGTTATATGTATAGATTTGAGACATCTAACACCTTAGTCTCTCCCGTGTGTAGTGACCATGATTGCTGTAAAGCATTCGAAACGTCGTGAACCAAAAATCCAAATAAATCCAATTCAATTAAATAAGTTTTATTTAAAGCGGTTCATTGTGTTATAAATTATTGTTTAAATATTATTCTTGTAACTTGTTGTATTTCATATCTCATATTGAGTACAGGGAACAATATATCTTTGTGCCTTCTTACCTCTCTCTGAATAAAGAACCATATTTGAAATGTGACTTATTCATTTGAAATTTTAAAAATTTAAGCAACTTTTCAAACCAGTTTAAACCCACTAAAACCACTTGATGAAGATAATGTTCGATACATTAAAAGTAACTAAACGTACAACAGAATTTAGTTCCCGCTCATTTTCTGATGACTTTCAAAAACAACGGATTGTACTACTGTTGTTGAATTGTTTTGCACTTTAATATGTATTTAAAACCCGTTATATTAAAGAAGCCAGTGAAGAAAACTTAACACAATAACTTATTTTAATTTCTAAAAAATATACATAATATACAACAAAGGTAATCGCTGAAAAAGTATTTTTTGAACCTCTAAATGGTTGAAAATGGACTAGCCCTTAACTTCTTTTTTGTTTTGAATTGAATTTATTAGGTCTCTCTATTTAAATAGTTCAGTATCCAGTTCCTATAAACAGCGATGTCGGTAAATACTGTATAACCGTTAGGGTCACACACGGAAGAATCACTTCGACTCAGGGTCATCGATACAATTCCCTTGACGTACCATGCTCCTGCGTTTTGTTCGGGCGCAGGAAAATCATTTTTATCGTAAACAAACACAACATATCCCCCTCCACTATCACCGTTACAAGGAGACGTACCTGTAATCAAATATTAGAGTTATTGTCATATTTATATTATACTAGGATTTCCCGCGGTTCCGCCCGCGTTCAGATGACCAAAAACCAAATTCTTAGGTTTTACATATTGATATACTCTTACGTTGTAGTTTTTCTCAGAATTGAGATATTTTCCCGCAGTAAAAAGTATCCTATATCCGGATAGCCAGCTACCATGATACCAAATTTCATCAAAATCACTCCAGTGGTTTTTCCGTGACGTTAACAGACAGACAGACAAAAATTCTAAAAACTATAGATTCGGCCTCTGTACCGATAATGATGTTCTCCTGACCGATTCCGCCACGGCGGCCAATCTCATTGAGACTAGCCAACTGCGCAGGAGATATTATAGTGCACAAGTGTACGTGCAGACACAAGTGCACTCTCTATTCCTGTCACTCTCATACTCCGGTGGGATGACAATTCGACCTGACTTGCATACTGACTTGACGGACCAGTGAGAGATCAGGCACAATCTTTGCTCAACAGCTGGCAACTGGCACGTTATGAAGCCGTTTTCAAGAGAATTGAATTGGATTGAAATATTTGGTAAATATTAGGTTATTATCATTAGTTTTGCTGCAAAGTTCAGTAATTATTGTACAATTTATCTTCGAGGCGAGCAAATTAAAGAGCTTATAAAGTATATATCTTAACAAAATAAGTCATATTTTTTACCGAATTTTTCCCATGTCGCGTAAAGGTGGCCTAATATCCAGTATGAGTTATGCAGTTAAATTTTTTCATAGCATTTCGAACAATTACTATTAGCAACAAAATTGAATGACGAAATAGCATAGCGACCGTTGAGAAAGATATAGAGATAAAGTAACGACTCACCGTCGCTTCGCTTGGGTTCGTCCCTAGGTACGTTACACAAGTATGGAATACACAGTACACTCATACATATATACGCATTATATGTACATATATACACATAGGTATAATGAATTGCTGAATGCGATAATCTCCCGCGGTAAAAGCCTATTCACTCTTCAGTCTACACTTCTTCTTCCCTTCTATTATCTCCACACAAATAATCAGGCCAATCAGTAATTCTGTCTCGACGTGAAAGAAGGACTAACAAAAAAACACACTTTCACATTTATAATATTAAGAAGTATCATTATATGTATAATTTTACGTAACAAAATACTAATTTTCAAAGATTGGTTTCGAAGTTGAAGCATTATAATGCCATTTCGTGGCAATATACGCGTAAACCCTAGTCGTTTTTCAATTGTTATATAAGATGTATGACATTCGAGTGCCGATATATTATGTATACAAATATACCAAAATTAAACCTCCTAAAAAAAATAAAAAATGTTATTGTTCCATTGAATATCGCTCGATGAAATTAAGGAATCAGTAACAACACTTGAGTGTACCGGGGTTTTTACTTTTTATATGTTACATATAGGTACGATCACGAACGTATCAGATATATTGCTAAAATAAATAACTCAATGCGTATATAAAATTTTCTTCCTGTACTATAATTGACCGTTAAGGACTTGCTACATCTGGAGCCAAGATAAAAGAAAGTGGTCTACTTCAGCTTGCAAAATTTGACCCATACAAACATACCAACTAACAAACATTGCAAGTTAAATAAAAGCTTGTAAAAAAATAAGAATTTACTTCTTTACAAAAAAAAACATTACAGCCATCAAATTATTATAGAATATAGCACATAAAGCCAAAGAATTTGTTTTTTTTTTGTTTATGGTGCTGCTACTTTATTATAAAATATTTATAATACATAAAATAGTTTATGTTGTTTTAACAATAACATTTTTTCTAATTTATAATTAATTTCACATTTAGATTACATTTGGGCATATATTCATTGCATACTTAAAATTTAACAGAACTATGGCCTCCTTAGACTTGCCAGATGCGCAGGAGATATATGTAGAGTAGTGCGTGTACACGCTGACACAAGTGCACTCACTATTCTTGTCACTATCAAAGTCCGTTAAGATGATACTTCGACACGTCCGATGAGAGTTATGGCGCAGGACCGACGGCTTCCCGTGCTCTCCGAGATACGGTGGTGAAACTTCAGTCAGGACTTCCGGATCTACCTCGGTGGTCTAGTAGCTAACAGTACTATACAATACATACAGCTACTAAGCGTTCCCTACTCTTTACGTTCTATGTCAAGAATGGTTGATTGTATTAAATATTGTTTAAATATTATTCTTTTGACTCGTTGTATTTCATATCTCATTTTGAGCACAGTGAACAATATATTTTGTGCCTTCTCAATTCTCTCTGAATAAAGAACCATATTTAAAAAATAACTTACTTATTCAATTGTTTTTAAATTGAAGCAAGTTTTCCAAGTAGTTCAAACTCCCTTGACGAAGATATCGGTCAATACATTAAAAGTACCTAAACGTACAATAAAATTCAGTCCCTGCTCATTTTCTGATAACGTTAAAAAACAACAAATTTTACTACTTTTGTTGATTTATTTCGTGCTTCAAAATGTATTTAAATTCCATTATATTAATTAAAGAAGACAGTAGACACAACTTAGTATTATCATAGTATATGTATATATAAACTTAATATAATAACTAATTTGAATTTCTAAAAAATATACATAATATACAACAAAGGTAAACGCTGAAAAAGGATTTTTTGTACCTTTAAAGGGCTGGAAGCGGACTACCTATCCCTTAACTTTTTTTGTTTTGAGCTGAATAAATTAGGTCTCTCTATTTAAATAGTTGAGTATCCAGTTCCTATACTGAGCGATGTCGGTGAATACTGTGTAACCGTTAGGGTCACACACCGAAGCATCACTTCGACTCAGGGTCATCGATACAACTCCCTTGACGTACCACGCTCCTGCGTTTTGTTCGGGCGCAGGATAACCCTTTTTATCGTAAACAAATATAACATATCCTCCTCCACTGTCACCGTTACAAGGAGACGTACCTGTAATGAAATATTAGAATTACAGTCAGGTTTATATTATATGACACTTACCTCGTTTGATCCTGATCACAATGTTTGTAGCAAACTGCTTTAATACATACATTTTCGTCTAGATTTGACTGTATAATGTTATATATGACTTAAGACATTTATTTCTTGAGAGTGCAATGTGTATATACATTATGTGTATGAGTATTCATGATTCTTATAATATTAAATTTGAATCTCGGAAACGGCTCCAACGATTTTCATGACATTTAGTGCACAGAGGGTTTCAGGGACGATAAATCAATCTAGATTAGTCTTATGTCTGGGAAAACGCGTGTTTTCGAATTTTCATACAGTTTTCTTTCACATCATTCCACGCAAAATATGGTCGATAATTTCGCACGTTCGGGCTTAAGCATCATGGTCAAGCGGCCCAGGCGCAAGATTGACAATCATAGATGTCCGGGTTACCCGGGTTCAAATCCCGATAAAAAGGTATCATTTATTTTTGTTTTTCTTTTGTATTTATTCAAGTTTAAAATAAAAAAGGAAATTGCACCCTTAACGAAGAACTCCGAGCGAAGCTCGGGGGCCCAGGTACTATAAAATTTTGTGTATCTCGGAAACAGCTCTAACGATTTGGATTTTAAGTTTATTTAATGGGTAATAACCGCAATTTTTATATCGTACCCGAAATACGCCTAGCGAAACTGGTTCGCTCAGATAGAACATTTAATAATTATTAGTTCTCCTCAGTTGAATCTATTTTAAGCATTAAATTACTGCGATAAACGGCATGATTCTAAGTAGGTATATATAGCATAAAGAGTTGTTATACTTGTTAAATATTTTTTGTGGGGCAATGAGAACATATCAATTGTCAGTCAGCAGGCAACAAATAAAAGTTTGGCAAACTTAAAATTATAGAACTCTACAAATCCATGTCTCCTTTGTATATTGTAATCAATTTAAGAAGGATATAAGACCATAAGAAATATCATCGTTACTGTAAGTGAAAATATTGGTTTATTGCTTTGTTGGATTTTCCTCCCTAGCTAGTAGCAATAGACCAACGTACTCGTACTATGTGGCTTAAATGTATAGAGACATTGGCTAATTTTCATCGTTGTCAATGAATTTAAGCGGACTATTTATTAAGATGTTAAGAGAAAATACGGATTAAAAAAAACTACTAAATAGGGATTTTGTGTGTGTGTGTGTTTTTTTTATATACAGTAGCTTACATCGTTATAAAATTGTAAAAAAATATCCAACTCAAAAAAAATGTATAAAAAATATATATGTCAAACCGATTACAGATATGCGAATACTTTAAACGCCCGCCATTTCGCGCGGTTAGCGTGACGTCACAGTATTATATACACAAAAAAACGACGGCTCAATTTGTAGCGACTAAATCGCTAATCACTCTGTTATGATATACTCTGACGTCATATTCTGTCTGACCAATGGCGTTCGTTTCAACCTATTTTGAATTTCTCACCTATATTGGCAATTTTTAATAATTATTTTCTTAATCAAAAAGAAATCATATTAAAAAATATTAATATATAATATTCCCTATTTCAAGTAAATACTGGTATATCAAGTACTCTCCGTAATATTAGATTACTAGAAACAATAAAACCCTTAATCCTGTAATATTTTTACAATTATCTTACCATTTTGGTGTCCAGCACAGAATTTTTTACCATTAAGCACTTTTTGGTAAAAAACAGGTTCAAATAAAATACAAGTGACATCTGGTACTATAGTCATAGTGGCTGTGAGCAAAGTCTTTGTCAATGTGTCCGTTGCATCGAAGCCCCAACCGGGAACCTAAAACATCAGCTTGTCTTTAAATGATATCAATAATGTTGATCTGGCTAACATGATATAGATGAAATTTATTTATTACTAGCGACTGACCCTCGCTCCGTTCGGGCTTGCCACTAGTTACCTAAAAAATGGGGGGTGGAGATAGGAGGGTGAAAAATACTTTACGACCTATTCTCATACCTATCAAATATACAAATAAAAATAATTAAAATCAGTCGAGCCGTTTCGGAGGAGTGCCACCACAAATACCGAGACACGATATATTTATATATTAGATTAGTAGTTAGTACTAGATAGTAGCAAGAGTTACATAAATGTTAAAATATCTAGTATGTATACATTATTTTTACCAAATTAACGCTAAAAAATAATATTATTTTCATATAACCTGCATTGAAATTGCGAGTTTCAATGCCTGTTGAGATACCCGAAACTACTCAATTTCAGACGAATGCGACTGTTGCCGGACAGAAACCGATAAATTTCTGCCCTCTGAATGAATTTGCGGCCCTGCTTTCGATCCTGTCAGAGTATCTTTTGTTTATAATTGTCATTTTAACCATCAATTAAAATGACAGATATTTCCACAAGTAAAATAAATAAGGAATACAATTTTAATAAAACAATTATTGTTTAATATAGATATACTAATTACAAGTAAACCACAACATCCCATTGACAAAGCAAGAACTGATGGGTATTACCTGAAAACTCAAAAATAAGGTATATGTATTCCTAGTCTGAAATTCTCTAGTTCTGGTTGGCTCCAGACATTAAAACTCACACTCCCTTGCTTCGCTCAGGCATGAAAAAACTTGAGACTGACCTTTTTGTAAAAAGGTATAACAGAAAACGTAACCGTGGGATATCAAAGCAAGTGTTACCAGTACCACAATTTTTTTTCAATTTATACTTGAATATATTACAGAAATTTAAAATACTTTTTTTATAACGTACTGTGCCTGTAAGTTCAAATGTTCCTATTTGGTCGTAAATACCATCGAACCACAAGCAGGCTGGCTGCACATAGTTGTTGTATTGAGCTGCAGCCAACAATTTTATTAGAGCAATATCATTATTGAGACTCCTATGTTCAAAATCATCATGAACGATTACTTCGAACACCTGAAAATATTAATATTTAAGTAATATATTATAATAATTGGGTAACTACACCATAACATCTGTATAAAACAGTAAACGGTTCATCAAAGAAGTGCTTGTGAAACCAATATTTTTCTTTTATGTAGTATAAATATCAATACTTTGTAAGATATTTATTTGGTATGAAGTCTTTCAATTATACATATTTAACTTTTCAACATGATATTAGATCTCAAATAAGAAATACTCCAAGTAGGCAGTAAGTAATAAATACTTCCGTCAACCTAATAACTATACTTGGCCCGACCCAGGACTCGAACGAACCCAGGAACTTCGGATTTGTAGCCGTACATGCTAGCTACTAGACCACCCACAAAGTGAATTTACGAATATAATAAATTTAAAAAATATCAAACCCCAATTGACTGAGAAGTAGCTTCTTGTCCAAAAAGAGAATATTTTCCCAGATGCACTCCAAGAATTTCTGGATTAATAGTTGCACTGTTTAGCGTCACACAATGAGCAGCTGAAAATGACGACCAAAATAAAATTCTCGTAGTTAGGACTTAATTAATGTTTACATATACGTTTTATGAAACCAATAAAATTAACTATTAATTAAACATTGCAATCACGAATAACAAAGTTAAATCACCACCAATAAATTCAATCATACGAGTATAATGCTAATAATAACTTACACAATATATTTTAGTGATAAGACAATTAGCAAGATATGAAATTAGTGTAAATTCCCTCGAGGTTTAATAACAAATCTAAAAGTAAAATAAACAAAAATTAAAAGTACTCGTAGTTTCAAATAGTAACAGGAATATCATAAAACTTCCATCGAACTATTAAATCGACGCCGCTATTCCAAAGTTTATTACAAAAAAGACAAGCAAACAACACATTTTTTTTAAATTAGCAGTTCTGGATTCGAATCCAGGGCTGGATCTTGTATTGTATTGAACTTTTCTGTAAAAATTTTCAGCAAAAGCCCAGAGTTAGGAAGTTTTATCGATGTAAAACTCCCACGTCTCGAAGGGGCACGAGTTTAAGAATGAAAGAAATAGATACTGTCTTTGTGTTTGCACTCTCACTTGTGCACTATAATTATTATATCTTCTAAGTAGATGCCTATCACTGTGACTAATCTATACAGAAAAATAAAATTGATATGTCTGTTTGTAAATAACAATATAATATAATGTCAAAATAACAGCGTTTTACTAGAAAAACACAATTTTTAACAATTTTGTCTGTCTGTCTGTTTGTTCCAGATAATCTCTGAAATAGCTGGAATGATTTTGACGGGACTTTTCACTGGAAGATAGCTGATGTTATAGGGAGTAACCTAGGCTACTTTTATTTTAGAAAAAGTATTAGGGTTCCGCTCAAAAAAATTGCGAAGCGAGAGTGAGTCGCTAGTATAATATACATTAGTGGCAGTGACATAGGCCCTAGAAATCAATTCAATTCGATTTTCTTGTCAATGGCTACGAAACGTCTGCCAAAGTCTATCAGGACGTTATGATAACTGATAGAGAATACAACGAATGAAATTATTTATAATTATTCTTACCTACATACCTATATGGAGACTTGTGTCAGTTCGAACTTTGGCAGGTTTTGCTAATAACTAATAGATAACAAATTTGAATACCTGTTAAAACTAAATACTTTGATATAAGAGTCCCTCCACAAGTGTATGTTAAAGAGCCTTTTCGTAGTGTATATAATGCTGCGTGCCAAGGCCACCAGCCAGCTGTAGTTGCAGATCCGCCTACTATTAAAGGTTTTTGAATATTCTCTGTTCTTACTTTTCGTCTTCCGCAAAATTTATTTGGTGCTTCAGAAAAGTATTTGTATTGTGTAGTATATTGATGGTCTTCAAAAAACCCCTGTAATTTATCGACGATAAAAAATACTGCATGTGGTGAGTAAAAACGCATGCTTTTTTACATATATACAGTACACCCTCGGCAAAATTGTAAGGATTATCGCATTTAAGATGTCTACAACACGTATTAAGTAATTATATTACATAAATAAAAACAGTAAATATAACTTGTCTTACCAGAATTGGTTGGAAACATTTTTCAATTCTATTAATTTTGAAGCTCGTTATGTACGGCGGGTGATGAGGTTGTGTCTCTCCCTGCACACTAAACAATTCACGCAAATCTTTAGTTTTGTTCGTAAATTCGAACTTATAAATATTATTTATAGTGTCAGGTTCCTGTTTTAGTTTTAAATTAGTAATATCTTCATATTCCCTGGACTGAAAAATTGAAAATTACAAATTGTTATTGATCAAGTTACTAAATACAACTTCAAGTCGATTACTGTGCCAAGGATAGGGACATCCAAATTGTACTTTTTTTTTCAACCAACTTCAAAAAGGAGGAGGTTCTCAATTCGACTGTATTTTTTTTATGTTTGTTACCTCAGAACTCCGTCATTTATTAACCAATTTGGACAATTATTGTGTTGTTTGAAAGTGTATACTTCCAGATTGGCCCATTTCAATTTCAAAAAAAAACCACACCTAAAGGTGGAAAAATAGCTAATGATGAATTTAACCTACTTCTAATTGTCATATTGACTTGAAACTTTGCAAGTGTTTCTATTTCCGTTGATAGTACAGTGGTTCAGTATTGTTGACCTGATCTGATGATAAGGCCAGAAGGTGGATAAGTGGAACTCTTCAACGGTTAATAGTAGATACTTTGAGTTTGGGCTTATTTTGTTTGATTTGACAAGCCTAACACGTTAGAATTCTTACTTTGCTACTACTGTCTACACTCAAAAGGGAAAAATAAAAACTTTTTAACAAAAAAATAAAAACCGACTCCAAACAAAAGCACTAAAAAGTAAAAAATAACTGATTGGTAATTTTCATTTACTTTACATACCTAATTAAATATTTTCAAAATCGGTGCCAGCCCATACAAAGCAAACATACCTAGAGCGCGCGTGAGATAAAACCTAGCTAGAGTATATTCTAATGTTTCTAATATATAAAGACAAAAGAAATCTTGGCTTGGTTTTGTGAACGTGATACACTGAGCCCCAAAACAAACAATGTTACTGCTTTTAATAAAATTCTTAACTCCTTTGAAGGGACCAAAATAGAATATAGGTCTGTCGATTCAGTGATGTAAATGGATAAAACAGTTTACTTTAAATTCAAACTATTTTATTCAGCATTAAATTATTTTTATTTTTTACTGAACGTCATGAGTCTACACTATCATGTGAAGTTCCCTAACAGTGTGAACCCACCAGGCCTCCTTTCCTCTTTTAGCATAAACTCCTTCTGTAGGTTGGCACACCTGTAATGAATAAACCACCTAAGCTATGCAACGGGACTAGACTGCTATAAAACATTATAGTGGTTACTATGTTTGCTGGACGTCTCGGAGTCGGGGGAACTAATATTCATACCTCGAATAGCGTTGATAGCTTCTGACTCTGCCTTTGAATTTAATGTACATATTGTAATTGCTCAAAGTTTGCATTGCAATGACGTTCGTCGTTACTCCTTACAGGCATAGATTTAAGATAGGATTGCTTCTCCTATGGTATTTTTGCAGAACACAGAACTAGGCAGAATGGCCGCCAAAGTAGTATAGGAAGAAGTTCTTAAATAAATACTAACTTGTGTGATTACATAAGTGATTACATAAATGTACTCATAATATTACATATTCGATATAGCAACATATATATTTAATGAAAATCAAAACTGAATTTTTTTTTACTCTATACGAGTGAAGCCGCGGTCAGAAAACTATCAAATAAAAAGAATGGCACTTTATATTTTATGTAACGGATGAATTTAACTTAAAAAAGGAGGGAGTCTGTAAGTTTTAGATTTACATAGTTAGTTTAAAAGGCTATATTAGCCGAGTTACATGATCCTAAAGTCGTAAACATTGTATGCGAGTTATATTATAGTAATCTCTTTCTCTATCTTTGAAAAATGGAGAAGAAAAATGTGCCAGAAATAAAGATAGTGGAGTTTGCTAACTATTTAATACGAAAATTAATATATAGAATTTACGTAATTTAAATTAAAACTAAAATTAAATTTGTTTGCCATAATATATTTAAGAAACACGAGCTTATTTGTGCAAGTAAATGAAGTACATATGTTTGTATTGTGAAAACGTAATATTTATATAAATATTTTAGTGCGTAAAGAATGAAGATATTAATTAGTAAAAACAATACAATATTTGGCGGTACGGAACCCTGATGCACGAGTCAAAATCATACTTACATATTTGAAAATCATTACAGCCATCAAATTATTATTAGTTATAATATAAAGCCAAAGAGTTTGTTTTTAGTAGTTTGAACGCGGGCGAAGTCGCGGGTACTGCTAGTTTAAAATAAAAAATATACGATTGAAACAAGTTATCTCAGCCCTGACACTAACCGAACGCTCGTCTCTTTAAGTTGGGATTTCCACGCATATTAAATGAACACATATTGTTAAATTAATTTCTACTTACCAGAAAAACGGTGGCCACTGAGTTAAATTTAACAGTTATTACTGTTCCATCTTCCAATACATCTTTTATCCACACATCATATAGTATGTGGCCATCAGGACTGAAAGTCACCGCCAAATCGTGACTATCCTTACAAAAATAATTGCTATACTGTGGTACTCCATGGTTAGAATAATAAGCATTAAACCACGGTGGTAGATTTTGAACTTCACTTATAAGAATTGAAATAACCATAATTTTTAAAAATGGAAATAAATCCATTGCAAAATTGCAAGATTATTTAATCATAATTTGTATAAACGTCAGAATTTTACGAGCTCTAATGACAAGTGATATCATCAGCTACGTATATAAAATATGTGTATAAAATTATAACGTTCTGAATTGTTCATTGAATACCTGTTTTTTGTTCTAAGATGTACGTTGAATATTTTTTACTAATATTATAATAATAAATAATAGTATCGTCCTGGCCAAATTGCATCACGGTGGCCAATCTCACTGAGACTCTGCGCAGGAGATATTGTAGTGCACAAGTGTACGGTTAGACACAAGTGCACTCTCTATTCCTTTCACTCTGAAATTGGCGGTGAGCCATGAGGGTTGCTTCAGGTACTTCTCTCATAGCAAAGTAGACCAAGGGAGCAACCCCTTGGTTGTGTGGCCTGCTTTGACAGACTGGTCGTCGTGGTTGAGTGCGTAAGCGATTAAGACACTACTGCGATAAGTTTTTGTTGCTATGGATTCTAGTGAGTAAAAGTCTCACAGTCTTCCTGCCCATCGACGCTCGACACAAAAAAAAGCATAACATTAGGTTCAGACAAAAAAATTAAGGAAAAATGCTTAAAATAAAAATTCCCGAATGAAGCTGGCGCAGATAGCTAATATTGTCTATATAATTACTATCTTATTTAAATCAAAAGATTTTCAATTTATTTTTATTTTGTCATTTCAAAGAGATTTTAAATAGAATAAAAAATGATGAAAGTGATCTGTTAAAAGTACTTCGTTGGTCTAGTGATTAGTATATCCGCCTTCATATTCCTCCAAGGAGGTCTTGGGTTCAAGTGTCAAGCTGGGTTAAGTGTAGTTTGATTTTCTCTAACTAATAGCCCAGAGAAGGTGTCAGTGATATACCCCTGTACATCGGAGCCCGTAAAGCAGTCAGTCCTGCACCTGTGCACTCCTCAGTCATGTCAATTATTATTTTTTGAGAGTGTTAGAAACGGTGTGCTATTTGCATACACTTGTGCACTATAATATCTTTTGCGTTGATAGCTAATCTCTGTCAGATTGTCTGTGACCATAACAGGTCAGGAGAGCACTATCTGTGTGATTACAAATAATACCTAAGTGTACGCCTACTTGTAATAACAAAGCTTAAAATTTATTATTATCCTCCGTGGAGAGCTGTATCTAGATCTAGTCAATCGAGACCTTGGTTAGTGATTATTTTTGTAAAGACAATGAAAACCTAGCTTTAACTTTTCAGAAATTTGACTCACAAACTACAGTTTACATTGTAAGTAACATTTATTTTTTCTTATCATTTCTATTTCTAGACTAGAAAACATTGTAACTAAATTCACTTTTTGTATTTTGTTTATACGTATCCTGCTCCTTTAATGAGTAAAAAAATCATCCATAAAGACAAAATATTCAAAATAATTTTGGATTCAGTGTGAATTTGAGTACATTATTCTATATATAAATCGATCAATTACTTTAACTTGTAAATAAGGTAAATAATATGTAAAGGTCAAATCAAAGAGCACATTACTGTTCTTATCGAAAGATACGCATAATAGTTGTATTTTCAACCGATTTCAAAAAGGAGGAGGTTCTCAATTCAACTGTATTTTTTTTGTTTTTTTTTTTATGTTTGTTACCTCAGAACTTCGTCATTTATTAACCGATTTGGACAATTTTGGTTTTGTTTGAAAGTGTATACTTCCAGATTGGTCCCATTTAAATTTCAAAAAAAAATACCACCCCTAAGGGTGGAAAAATAACTAATGATGAATTTAACCTACTTCTAATTGTCACATTGACTTGAAACTTTGCAAGTGTTTCTATTTCCGTTGATGGTACAGTGCTTCGGTATTGTTCACCTGTTCTGATGGTAAGGCCAGAAGGTGGATAGGTGGAACTCTTCAACGGCTAATAGTAGATACTTTGAGTTTGGGCTTTTTTATTTGATTTGACAAGCCTAACACTTTAGAATTCTTATTTTGCTACTACTGTCTACACTAAAAAGGGAAAAATAAAAACTTTTTAACAAAAAAATAAAAACCGACTTCAAACAAAAGCACTAAAAAGTAAAAAATAACTGATTGGTAGTTTTCATTTACTATACATACCTAATCAAATATTTTTGAAATCGATGCCAGGCCATACAAAGCAATATATATATATATATATATATATATATATATATATATATATATATATATATATATTTAAATTATTTATTAGGTTTATTTACAATCACTTACAATAATACACACAATATAAAAAACTAGAAGTAAATGTAGTGATTACTTACAAATAAACACAACATGCACAGAAATAAAATTTCTTAAAATATTATACAAAATAGATATATTTTAGAAATAAATATATTTTTTTAATTAACCAATGAGCAGGTACACTGTTACATTAATTTAGCAATTATAGCATTATTTAAGACTATCAATGAACTTTTTAGCAATTTGGTGCAAATGGTTTAGCGGAAATTGGCTCAGGAATCAGCAAATATGTGTCAACATCTATTCTATAAGAATTTATAGTCTAACACAACCGTGGGACTGGGGAATTGGATCGTTCGGCGATATATATATATTTATATTATATTTTATTTAAGATAATTAAACTTAACTAACTACATTATATAATCATAGTATGTAGGTTTCCTTGAACGTATTGCAAATAACCACTCCTTCGAATATTTGTACTCGTATCGTATTTTTCTAAGAATAAATAAATAAAGAGAAACTCATTTAAACAAAGCTTTGGATAAGGTTTACTTTAAGCAAATTGTAGGTATACCAAAGGCGATGGGAGGTTGTGTAAAAAATTCAAAGTTGTATGTTGAATTTACGTATTTATTTCATTTTATTCGAATAACCAATATATTTTTATTACAACTTATATACTATGGAAAGATTTATCTATTGGAACAAAAAGGTATTCTCTGGCCATAAAAAATGGCGTATGAAATAAATATTTTATTATTACTGGCTTATTTGTACAGATAAATAAAACTGAAGTATCTGTTAGTAATGTCCAAATAAAAGCTTTGTACTATTTATAAAATTATATACGGTACTTATAAGAATAACACAGTATTTAAAGTCCTTGTCTGTCTGTTTGTTCCGGCTAATCTCCAAACCGGCTGGCCTGATTTTGACGGGATTTTCACTGGCAGATAGTTGATGTTATAAGGAGTAACATAGGCTATTTTTTTTAGAAAAAGGTTTAGGGTTCCGCTCAATAAAATTAAAACGTTCCTTCGGGCGCATCCAAGCGAAGAGAGGAAAAGTCGCTACTTTCTAATATTTCGTTTTTAGTTATCTAATTGTTTTGTATATTATGTCTCATATGCAATAGGAGTTAATGAGTGTGTAGCGTTATTTATTTATTTTAATAACTCATTATATATATTTAGTATGGAATCATTCTTCGTCATCATACCAGCCGAAGGACGTCCACTGCTGGACATAAGCATCCCCCAAAGATTTCCACGACTGCCAGTCTTATACCACCGTCAGATTTCTTAGGTATGTAAATGAAACTGTCAGAAGATGGAACATTATACGTATGTATATCTATTGTTGATTATTACATTTCCCAAGTGACAATTTAAGGTACTAAAATTATTTATTGGCCTGTTATATATACATAAATTCTTTAATCTATATCAGAAACAATATCCAAGGCACTTAAAGTTAGACAATCGTAAAAAAATTGAAATCTTAAAAATATATATGAGACTAGCATTGCTCGCGGCTCCGCCCGCGTTCAGATGACCAAAAACCAAATTCTTAGGTTTTACATATTAGCATACTCTTACAGTCTTATATATTGACCCGGATAACCAGCTATCATCATACCAAATTTCATCAAAATCTGTCCATTGGTTTTCTCGTGATGCGGTAACAGACAGACAGAAAGACAGACAAAAATTCTATTAACTATAGATTCCGACTCTGTATCGATAATAATGTCTATTTCAATTAGATTTTCCAAAAAAAAATTTTATGTTCAGATTCGACTTAGTTACAATTTTATTATATGTATAGATTGATGTTTTATGATTTTAGAACATAGCGGTTGCATTTGTCCTTTTAATACAATATATATAAGCTTTTACATTTTAAATTGCAATGTTTGTTACTTGGTATGTTTGTAAGGGTCAAATCTTGCAAGCGGTATTAGAACCACTTACTCTTATCCTTCAGAGTTAAAATTTTACTTGTTAGTTCAGATTGGATGACTATGATTTTTTGATAATTATGACCTGATTCTTCATCTAGGATTCTTCAGACAAAGCAACTCCTTTATGGCATTTAGGCAACAGGATACTTATAGGACTTCGCTGCTGCTTCCAGGATTGGCTCTAAGACAACTTCTCAGCGGACAACACCTCAGATACGAAATTTTGTACACGTTTACATTTGTAGAATAACATGTTTTCCTTTTTGGTTGGGTGTCATAACAAAAGATTGAATTGAAAGTTATCTATCTATAGACTGAACCTTGAGCTTATTCACACAACTTAGTTTAATAAGTTGGGAATGTGCTCTATACTGCTAGCCTCATTGAACATTTATTTAAAAAAAAACATGAATAAAATAACATATTTTATTATAACTTCAAATTTTTTTATCACATTTCACAACTAGCGTCTACGGTCTAAGGCCTTAATGAATTCAACCCTCCAAGGTGACCTTCATCCCTTTGTCTTTGAAGTTTCAACCTTTCATCTGCATAACCGTCTATTCCAAGACCGAGTCTCTCTATCAACTTTTCTCCTTTATCGCCATGTAATTCGATAAACTGTTTTCTTCTCCTTAAAGATATATCAGGGTCGAAAATCCAAGGACGAGTTTCGTGGATGACAGGAAATCCTACTAAATTTGTTTGTATGAACGACTCTATTGGTCCCATCGATTCTGACGCTATTTGTTGATAGAAGACGCACAGGCATAATATTAAAATCTGAAAGTAATGAATAATGCGTTAAAACGTATCAGACCAATAATTATTATTATAAATCTGAAATTTTGTGCGTGTTATTCCTACACTACCTATTAAAACGGCTTGACAAACTTGGATGTAGTATTCAAAAAGACTATGGAGTACTTGGAGTAACCTAGGTACGATACTACAATACCTTTAATGCACCTAAAGACATACCTGAGTGAAGCGAGAAAGGGTTTCATGATTTTTTCTTATTAAGCTTAACAATAAGCATACGAATTACGTTAAAATTAAAATTCCCACATGAAAATGTGACGAGTGAGATGTGAGATCTAAGTTTGAATCCTTCTTACTAAGTTTTCACATGAGCGCGTTACCAATACATATTTATTTACAATTTGAGATTATCGAGCTGACGTGATGATAGAATTAGAAAGTGGATAGTGGAACTCTTCTATAGGTACAAATACAATTTGCGAAATTGAGCTCACTTGTGTTGACGAGTTCCTTACATGTCTTTTATTTCTTAACTAGCAAACACCCTCGCTTCGCTCGGGTTCGTCCCTACCTTGCTTCCCTGTACAAACTTTCATCCCCATTTTCACCCCCTCAATGGGTTATTTCCGAGATAAAAAGTATCCTATATCCTTCATGTGGGTCTCAAACTATCTTCTTACCAAATTTCATCTAAATCGGTTCGGTAGATCCAGAGATTATCGCCTACAACGTCACAAACTCACAAACTTTACCTCTTTATAATATTAGTATAGATTTAATGATGTCTTGGTACATCGACGATAGCGAATAGGCCTAAAGTATTTATAAGTATGACCATTGACCAAGTAATAAGATAAAATTATAATAGTCTATTTGAATATATTATGAACTGCCAAATTAAGGTGATTAGTTCAGTAGATTTGGACATACATATTTTTATAATTATAAATAACCTGACTGCGTAAAAAAACGAGTTAAAAAGATGGATACAAGTTGACGGTCTTAAACCACAGACCTGTCACTAGGGGCATCTAAGCGCCGCCTATATTTAAATGAAACGTTCATTAAATAATATTTTCTCAGATTTACGGGAATATTTGACATATATATATATATATATATATATATATATATATATATATATATATATATATATATATATATATATATAAAAATCAATTGCCATCCGTTAGTCTCACTAAAACTCAAAAACCGATTTGAATAATTATTTTTTTGTTTTGTTGGGGGTGTGTCGGCGATGGTTTAAATATAAAAAAAATTGGGAAAACCCAAAAAAACTGCTTATGCTAACTGGTAAATCGTAAAGTTCAGAACTGTTTATTTTGTACCTATGTATATATAATATATGATCTATCTATTCCATACTAATCATTAAAACGTACCCAGGGATGGACCAGAGGGAAGCGAGGGTGAATCGCCAATTTTAAATAAATATTTTTTTGGTTCTCGACGTTTCGAATGCTTTACATTTACTAGACTGAGGTTTTAGACGTCTCATCTGTCAAAGGTTAGTTACATCAGTTGTTGCAGTTTATTTAAAACTTTATTTAAAGTTAGGGTTCATAAGGTCAAGTCGTGTACCATGTTTTATGATCTACTTTCTATATATGGAATAACTAGTACCTGATAGTAATTTTCTAAACTAGTGACTCTGTAATAGAAAAGTCAGAATACATAAAACAGTTATGAGTTCGACTCTAGTTAGAAGGAAATATTTATACTGACTGTACAAATATTTGTCAGAAGTAAAATTTATATTAAGACTAGCGACTTAAACCGACTTAGCGACTTGTGTCCCTAGGTATATATTTTTTTTGAGTGGAACTCTAACTCTTTTTCTAAAATAAAAGTAGCCTAAGTTACTCCCTATTTAATCAGCTACCTGCCAGTGAAAATACTGTTAAAATCAGTCCATCCGTTCCGAAGATTAGCCGAAAAAAACAGACAGACAGATAGAGTGATAAAAAATAAAAAAAATTACGTTTTTTAATATGTACCGTATATACTTTCATATACATTTAGTAAAAAGTTGTTATTTTAAGTTATTATTTTGTTTGTTGTTTTTACATTACAATAAGGCACTTCAATTTTATTTATCTGTATAGATTTTAGACATCCCTAAGCCATTTTTCAAAGTGATTAAATTCTCTGAAATAGCTTAATTTCACCGAGATGTCCAACTGTTTTCTCTATGAAAATTTCGGTGGTGTAGTGGCTAGCATGTACGGCTGCACACCCGGAGGTCCTGGGTTCGAGTCCCGGGTCGGGCCAAGTTTAGTTATTGAGTCTTCCTGTATAGTAAGTCTCAGTAACAGCCCGGAGTTGGGAAGTTGGCGGTGTTTCACCCCCGTGCTTCGGAGAGCACGTAAAGCCGTCGGTCCTGCGCCTTAACTCTCACCGGTCGTGCCGAGTGGTCGTCCCACCGGAGTATGAGAGTGATAGGAATAGAGAGTGCACTTGTGTCTGCGCGTACACTTGAGCACTATAATATCTCCTGCGCAGTTGGCTAATCTCATTGAGATTGGCCGCCGTGGCCGGAATCGGCTAGGAGAACATCATCATCTATGAAAATTTAAGAGTAGTAAGTTAGCTAATAGAAGATACAGGTGTACAAAATATCGAATAATTAATTGTCCATAGTTTAGTTTAACTGTTAGTAGCTGTTGATAATTGAGATTAATCTTAAAATAATTATTAAGGTGCAAATCTTTCGTTTTACATAATCAATGATCTAACGAAAATTCCCACCAGACATTTTTCTTTAGAATTTTAATTTGCTTCAGATTTTTTTTATGACGGAAAGTGCATTGGCTCTAGATTCCATCTCGTATAATTTTACAATCTGACAAAGAAGCAGATACACTCAGCTTCGGTCAAGTAGCAGAAAGGACCGTGGAAGCATCAAGCAATCCCTTGGTGGTTGTGGTCTGCCTCGGCAGGCAGCTGTCGAGCCGTCATAGTTAAGTTCATGGACGGGAGAGGTTCGTTGGCTTTTATTGAATAGTCCTAACTTTTCTCGTCAGTGAGTCCCACATAACCGGTAAAATGACGACACGTTTGGCTCAGTTTATAGTGACCCTACTTATTGAGCCAGCGGTCGCGGGTTCGAGTCCCGCTGGGGGCATTCATTTGTGTGATGAGCATGTTTGTACTCCAATCATGAATGTTTATATTTATATGTGTGTATTTAAAGTTATATATGTGTAGTGTATCAACTATCTGGTATCCATAACACAAGCCTCGTAGCTTACCATGGAACAAGATGGTTCTGTATATTAATGTCTCAATAAAAAAAATGGTATGCGTAAATGCATTTCCAAATGTTAAACAATTGCTTCCTTCAATTGCGTTACGTTTTGTACTGGACTGCAAGTTACAACTGTAACAGCCGAAATACATATGTACGTATCACGTAATAATTTTACGCTCTGTTTCATTTTACAAGTAGTGGAGAAATATTTAAATATTTTGCACTTATTACTATTTATAACTCTATCAATGGAATGAAAGTTCAAGTTCGGATCATTGCATACAATTGTAAATTAAAAATTTAATCGTATCAAGAGATCATTGCTTTACCTTTATGTTTTTCATCAGTGTGAGAAATATACCTATGCTTATATTTATAATAAATAGACGCTTAGTTTTATTCACAGCTCCTCTTGCATTAGAAGTACGTTAGTAAAGAGCAACCCTATCAGTTTATAATTCTAGGTACTATATCTTACTAGCGGCTCACACTCGCTTCGTTCGAGTTCGTCCCCACGTACGTTTTAACGGTTAGTATGAAACACACAGTCTATATATTATATGATTTATGACCCTTCCTAAATAAACGGGCATCTATCTAAATAATTTAATGCAAAAATAGTTTTTCAAATCTGATTAGTAGTTCCTGACATTAGTGCGTTCAAACAATCAATCGTTCGATCGATCGGTCGATCAATCGCGCTGATTACTTCAGAGGTTTAGCCCAAACAAAACTTTAAAAGCCAACTAGCACCCACTCCTAAAGCTAACGGAAATATTAGTTTTGAGGAGATGTTTTAAAATCAATATATTTTTTAAAGACATGACAAGACAAGTTAATCTATTCGCAATTGATGGCGACTTAAAGTCGGTTACGGCCGAAATAAGGACCTTGAGCTTCAAACGATAGCTGAATACAAAGTGAAAAGATATCAGGTTCATCACGAACTGCAATTAGGTAACCTTATAAAATAATAGTGTAGCATGACTGGCAAATTGTGTTGTTTTATAAGTAGTATACAATTGTTAGTTGTAATATTTAAATTATAAATGAATGTTTGTATCTTTATACAGATCTTAGATATGTTGATAGTTTATTAGAGACATGAGATTTTCTGACCACGTGACATAATTTGCTTACCATATTTTTTTTAGTTTTCCATTATCGGTACCAATTGTACGGTCTTATATCTAACTGTTCCCCCCTGATCTACGACATTTAGAAAATTAAGTATGATAATTTCGCACAACATACAATAAAATATATTATGGCCTGGTGACTTACCCTCGCTTCACTCGGGTGAGTCCTTAGGTACCTTTTAAATATGAATTGCAGTTATTGCGAGTGTATCTTAGGAGAAAGACTTATGCTATTACGGATTTTTTGTAGACCTTATACTAGATAAGACCTACAATTTTCTTGTTTTCTAAGAACGACTCGATAAAACCAGTTATTGTTTTCCCGTGGGAACGAAAGATTTTACTGTAGTAAAAGGTATCCTAAATGTTGACCCAAACATCGATTTCCCTAAGTTACTGTTTTATTATAAGTATAGATAATAGTACAACAAAGTCTACAAAATTCAATTTTTTTTTTATGTAGGTGTAGATTAAAAATGAACGAGAAACATCCTTATTTAGGTGTTCTCAGATTTTTACATATTGTGCAACATAATATTATATAGGTGAAACTTCAGGAAATCTCTCAATGTCGTAAAGAATATCTAAAAATAATTTCAAATAATGATGTTTCTACACTAAAATTAATCCGATGCCATAAGAAACATAAAAGTTATTATTTTACTAGCGACTTACCCTCGCTTCGCACGGGTGCGTCCCTACTCACGTTGTAATTTTTTTGAGCGGAACTCTATTTATTTTTTCTAAAATAAAAGTAGCCTAAGTTACTTCTTACTAGAACTTTTATATTTTTATTTGGTGTACACACCAGCTACCTACCAGTGAAAGTCCCGTTAAAATCAATTCAGCCGTTTCGGAGATTATCCGGAACAAATAGATAGACACATAGACAAATTTTTTATTAATTGTATTTTCCTTATAAGTACCGTATATAATTTCATATTTTAGCATTTAGTAAAAAGTTGTTATTATGACATTACAAACAAACACTTCAATTTTATTTATCTGTATATATATTAGGAGGCGTTAGTACTCCTTAAAATGACCTCTTACAGATTGAAAATCATAATGTACAAAAAAAAACAAAGTCAATTTAAAACCGGGCACCGTTGTCGGAAAGTGTGCCGGAAGTCGTTAAAACGTCAAATTCCGATATCACTTGTATCTGAGTTAAATTAACGTTTGAAGTTTGAACATCCCTGTGAGATTAAAATATCAATAAAATTATATTTTATTCTACCTGGCACGATTAGATGCACTATTTTGTATACTACTATATTATAAATAGTAATATAATAATATTTACTGCTAACAAAGCCACCCTTAATTATTTATATATAGAATTTAACACAATATTTATTCACTTTTAATTTAATTAATTAAAAAACACAAAAATTTCACGTTAGAAAATATTTTGATAAAGGACTTACAGTTAAATGTTTCATTTTTAACTACACGACCGATCTGTGTGAAGTAGTTTAGATTATTGCAACTCAGTACTAACCTGTTGCTAAACGAGTCAGTCAGACTTGAATCATTTGATAATATTACGAAAGAACTATAAATTAATGGCTTACGAACAATATGAATGGCTTGCACGTATTTTTCTATGTAATTCAAGTACCCATTTGCCTATATAAGTTCAAATGTTATTTTATTCGGATACCTGTGACCTCGTACGCATGCCTTTTTTTATTTAAACTTTTTAAAACAAAATTAAAATGTAGTTAAAATATTATATTGGTACATATAGACATAGAAATATATAAGAAAAATCATAAATTTCCCCCTTTTTTTTGAAGTCATTAAAAAAGAGCGGCCATGTTCAAAGATCTGTTAAATGAAAATTATAACATCAAAATATTATCAATTTTTATTATACCAAAACATCATCAATTTTAGCGCAAAGAGACAAGTCTGTCCGTTCGGCACTACCTATCGCGTCAGAAGTCGTGGATTCGATTACTGGTTTGTAACAAATCAACCTTTCATTAATTTGTTCTAGTTATAAAAATAGACAGTTATTGCAACCTGCCTAACTTGCCATACACTAGCATGTTTAACAGGTTAACTCATAGTCCTATGTAAAATATATTTAATACTAGCATTGCCCGCAACTCCGCTCGCGTTTAGAAAACCAAAAACCAAATTCTTAGGTTTTACATTTTAGTATACTCTTACATTTCAGATTTTGTATTTTTTCTCAGAAATGAGACATTTTCCCGCAGTAAAAAGTACCCTATATGTATATATACCAGCTATCATCATACCAAATTTCATCAAAATCTGTTCAGTGGTTTTCTCGTCTTTTCGACAGACAGACAAAAATTCTAAAAACATTAGATTCGGCTCATGTATCGATAATAATGACTATTTCAATAATATTTTCCAAAAAATATTTTATGTACAGATTCAACTCAGAATTTTATTATATGTATAAAGACGCCAACGCATGACGTCACCCAACCACCAGTGGTTTCGTTTTCGGTGACGAACGCCTTTCACAAAATAAACTCCGATTTCTGCCCTTGACTGATGTATTTTTAGGCAAACTTAGAAGTAGCTAACTTTTTAGTCAAAATCAAAATAATCTGTTTCGGACTTGACAAATTCATCAAACGTCGATTTGTACTGCACTTGTTGCATTCTTAAACAGGTTTATACATGTTAGCTCAACTCTTCGCTTCCGTCTAATAAATTCATTTGTGTGTTCCAATTTTGCACATTGAACGTGCAGGTGTTTTAGTTTGGGAAGGATAAATGGGATAAGGAAGATGACTGAACCAAACTGTGTTGTGACTGAAGGCTGTTGAAGGTCTTCAAGCTCAGACTAATCGTATTGTTCCTGATCAACAAAAGAAAGAATTTGATATCTTCTCAAACATTTATATTTATAATAAATAAATACTCTTTATTGTACATCCACAAGAGAAAAAAAGAAAAATGTACAAGAAAAATATAAAAAGAGCTATGTACAAGAGGCGGTCTTATCGCTAAAACAGCGATCTCTTCCAGGAATTGACAAACTGTAAGAGGGGAGGGGTATGAACAATATAGTAGAAATAATAAAAAAAAAACAAAAATAATAATAAAAATAATACAATAATAACAATAATTCATTTTTTCGTACTATTAATAAACATTTATCTGTATTAACAGATGTTTTTTTTGGCCTGTGCATGTGTCGTGTGCAAGAAGTAGAATGAATTGTGTTAGATTATGTATGATTGACGTTGTGAGTGACGAAGTTGTATTTTAGCAGTTTGATTGGATGAGTGTAAGGCTCGATATAATCTATCTATCTATACTTATTATAAAAATAAGTCCCCCGGCCGCGTCTTTCTGTCCTCCTGTCTGTCTGTACGCGATAAACTCGAAAACTACTGAACGGATTTTTATACGGTTTTCAACAATAGAAAGAGTAATTCTTGAGGAAGGTTTAGGTATATAATTTATTATGCTTTTATGTAAATTAGCTGAAATACGGCGACAAATGTTGAAGAGGTCGCAAAAAATCTCGCCAAATGGGAACTTTCCACGCGAACGCCGCGTAAACTAGCAAAGATACAGTTAAGTAATGTACTAGAGAATTCAAAATCTATAAAAATGCTACAAAAAAGTCCGCGATAGCATATCTCTATCTCTTACGGTTGACTTACAATAACCACTTTTATGTTAACATTTTTAATTAAAAACATTACGTTATTTTCAAAGTTATTTTCTTTAGTTCGGTATTAATCCTTATCCAAATGAATATTTTAGTTAGCTTAGTCATTTAATGCAGATTAAAATTGCTCTTTACACTAAATCAATCAGATGAATAGTTTTTGAGATATCGTTGTTAGAAGTAATTAGTAGCGAAACATTTTTAATGCTTGGCGAGCATTGAGATGCCTACGGCGAGTCCATCCCCTCTGCCCCGCATCGCTCGACCGCCTGCTCAAGCTATATAAACCGGGCGATGTAGCGCGCGATCCTAGGATACTTTTTACCGCGGGAAAATATCTTATTTCTGAGGAAAAATACAAAAACTGCAATGTAAGAGTATACTAATATGTAACACCTAAGAATTTAGTTTTTGGTCATCTGAACGCGGGCGGAGCCGCGGGCAATGCTAGTACAACATAATAAAACGCCTTATGCTAAAGGCAATAGGGTCGACGATAGAAAATTTCTTGTCAACAGTTATGAAACAATTATCTAAACAAAAATTTCCAGCAATTGCGATTGGAAAACCAGTAGCCGTACCAATTACCAGCTTTAATGGAGTCAAAGGAGATGCTCGAAATATTTTGGGTATATAGAAGAAACACAAACAAACGATCGATGGTTTATAATTTATATAGAGTAGGAACAAAACACGGAATAATAAACACTATCACACTATTTGCTAGGAACCAGATAAAAGAATGCAAGGAAAAATTTGTTAATTTCGAAGATGTGCTCGACGTTCAGCTGTCTCTAAAGGAGATCAGTGCAAAAGATTCTAAGTTTTGGGGCCAAGGTTTCATAAAATGCAACAGTAATTAAAAATACTCTTCAAAATTGTGTAAATGTAAAAGATCAAAGGTATTGTGCAACTTACAATGCCACAACGCACCACCTTGTCAAAATAGAGAGTAATAGGCGTGGCCCATAGGAAACAGCTATAAAATAAACTATATATTATAACACTTACATTTAGTTTTATTTTGCTAGTTTTGAAATAAACTAAGATATATCGCTTTAAAAAAAACTCGCCGCCGGACACTTTTTTTCAAATAGCTCCTCAATTAACTAAGATATAGAGCTAATATATACTGGATCAATTACTGTTAGTGTCCTCTACAATATAACATTGGATACGATATAGGTTCCTATCGGGGGTAGTTTCGCCATAGAAGTAGGGCTAGACCCTTTAAAATTTAGTTTGTCGGTTCTTCATGGTTATATAGAGAATAACTAGGCATCCAAGGTAAGTTGGTACTTGCATCCCTTTTTTTTAACGTTGGGAAATGCATTTACGCACGAGGTGTGGGACTCACCGGCAAACCAGTACTCCCCACTAAAACCCAATAGAACCTTCCCCGTCTTAATGGGGCGTACCAGGATCGCTTACGCGCTTAACCTCGACGCTCCGACGGCAGGTCTGCCGAAGCAGACCACAACAACCATGAGGTTGCTTCCAAGGTCCACTCAGCTATCAGAGACTTCTCTATACTCTATACTAATCTCTATACTCTATACTAACTATCAGAGACCAGGAGCAACCCGCATGGTACACTGCCCACCGAGATGGGCCGCCTCCCAGTGCGTTTCAGATAAGAGATAAAATTGATCTAAGTATGTAGATATGGGTGTATATTATTATGTATGTTAATTTCTTGTACCAGTAGTTATAAATGTTGCGTGTATCAGGAGCCTTCCAAATTGTGATCACAATTAAGTACTTACTTACTTTTAATAATGTATTTATTGATATTTTAATTTTTGTATAAAATATGATTCATTTAGTTAACTATTTCAAACATTTAACTTCTTTAAGATTCTAAGCGGGATAATGTAAAGCTCATAACAATTTTATGTCAAAGATTAATCCCTCCACGACAGCGAACACGCCGGCGTGTCAGTTGACAATAGATTTCTTAGAACTTTAATTAATTTCTTAGAAATTTACCTCGAGGTGTTAAGAAAATGAATTATACTTATTTATGTATATATGTAGTTATAAGTACTGTAACATACCCGATTTTGTTTTATATTATATAAATATATTATATAAAACAAAATCGGGTATGTTATAATATATAGTATATATAAATTATATATAAACGGTGTCCCAGAAAGTAGTGTCAAGCGGAAGTCCAGAGATAGAGCACCCCTTGGGGTTGGGGTACCCGAATCACCCCCATGTATGTTACGCGATTGTTCATAGTTTATGAACAATGATTTTTTTTCCAAAATTTCCCTCCCAAAGAATTCTGAAGGAAAATTGCCAGTAAACATTTTTGCTTTGTGGGCCTCTTTTTTGAGCTAATTCGACTGGGCTAGTAGTCGTCCCACCGTTCGCTATGGGTTTTGCGTAATTTAAAATCTTTAAACTTGTGCCGTAAACATATGAATATTCATTGTTAATATTCTTTGCCACTATTGAGATATTAATAAGTGTACGATGACGTTATAAAATTAGTTTTTTGGTCCAAAAAATTTTGATGTACAAAATTTGCAAACGAAGTCGTCATTATATAACATAAATTTTGTCTATTACTCTCTGATTTGGTGCTTGATGAACGTAAATCACTAAAGAAAAATACTATAATTCCATATTTTCAGTTGCTTGTAGCATATTTCAATAGTTTTATAATATTTAATTAAATATAATATTTATTTACGATTAATACATATAAGCTGTCAAATTTGACACATTGAGTGAGAGTTCACTCCAGTATATATCTATACTCTTTGGTTCACTCTCATGACTCATCAAAGACCAGTTAGACATTGACACATGTCGATATGTGTTATCGATAATATCGATATTTTGATATAAATATATGTTGAAAAAGTAAGATTGTTTTTTGCTTTTTGTTAGACACAGTGAAAAATTAAATATTCATATGTTATATAAAATATGGTACGTATATATAAGAGCCTAAATACGATGTCAAACATAATATACTACACTATAATAGGAATACAAAGACATAATAATAATAAATAAATAAAGACATATAAGAAGATAAATAAAAATGAATGGCAAAATTTTGCTAAGCGCAAAACTCGATAACAGCTGGACTAATTAGCCTATATTTTTTTTGCAAATATTCGTTGAAATCCGAGGAAGGTTCTTATTAAGAGAAAAATTTGAAAAAAATCACGGAAATTCGTAATAATCACATTTTTATCCTTACTACTACTTTATTGCCATAAATGCTCATGTTATTTAAAAACCCAAAACAGCTTACACAGTTTAAATCGATGCTATATAATTTGAATTATGAGTGTTTTTTAATGTAGTGGTGGAAAAACGACGCACGGGCTCGGTGTTTAACGGGTGATGCATGTCATAAAGCGCGAAGTTGTAGTGGTTAACACTTCACCACAAACTACACGTCACATTCTTTCCCTGAATTATCTGTGATTTTTCCATAGTCTGTGGCTATAATTTGAAAATTGTTCCTGGTCTGTATTTAAAATAATTTTGACATAGAATCTTGACACTCTCAAGAATATCAACTATCTATGTAGCAATATACTATATGCAACTATCTAACATAAAGTTTGTGCCTGTGGACTGTGGTTATTTCATATTTGTAAATTAGAGCGGCATCGGTATTAAAAAGGGTTATTTACCTATTAAGTTATTCTGTGATCGGCACATAATACATATTTGGTGTTGTTCAACGATTTAAGATACACTTCGTGAAATAATGTCGGACGATGGAGAGATAGAGTTTTTAGATGAAGATGCGGAGATAGTACAACAATGCGTTCAAACTGTGGAAGTAGAACCCTTGGTTCCTCAAGGGCCTTTAGTGGAAACAACGCTTTTAGTGGAACGGGTTAAAAATGAAAGACCAAGGAGAAAAAGAAAGAAAGAGGAAGATTCAGATTATGATCCGACAGAAGATATAACTCAACGACCTAGGAAAAAGCGACAGCAAAATTTTCCGCGACAAGGTGCACCGCGAGGGCGTCCGTCACATTCCTCTTATTTGCAACGAACCGAAATAAAAGAGGTTCGAAAACCAAAAAAACTAGTACCGAAACTCGATTTCATTGACCGTAAAAAGCTTGACATAAGGATTCCAGACTATGATGATCCCCTGTGTTTGCCTGTCCGCGCGTTAAAGAAAGATGAATGGGATGCCAGGAAATTGAGAAACTGGAATAACTTATGCTTAGAACACTTTAAACATTTTGATAATCCTTTAAGAGCGGAGAAAGAACTAACTACTTCTTCCAAAAGAACTGTTGTATTGAGGAATATGCATAATAAAATGACAGGTATATTGTGATATTTATATATTTGGCAGTAGTGATTTTGCTATATTTTTGTGGGATTTTGTAAGAGTGCATAATTTTTTGTTCAGGAGCACCTTAAATGCTACAATCTGGCAACTTTACCTATTTTGTTCCGATTAATTGTAACTAGCTTTTATATAATAGACTTTTTTAATTTACTTATATTTATTTATTTTACTTCTTAGCTTTTTTTCATTTTGATACATCGAACACTTGCAACAGATAAAGTTTTGGAATACAAAACTACTACTCTTATTCTGAGTTTGAGAAATTAGATTTAAAAAAATAACATATACAATCATAGATTAAATTAATATATATTTTATTTTTAATTTCAGGGAAACTTGAAACAACAATGTACAGCAAAATATGTGTGGAAAACAAAAATGAAGATAAAAGATCAGAAGTTATTCAATCGGTACTTCCTAAATATAGGGAGAAAAAACTCCTAAACTCATTTAATTTACTCGAAGTCAAAAAACGAAGGTCATTTAATCATAAGGATGAGGTTTTGCTAACGAAGGAAGTTAATAAAGAAGTGGAAACACTTGTTGTTTATAAACCAGAAGAGAAATTGTCTTTAGTCTACAAAATGTTTGAGAAGAAAGGGTAACTATTTCAGTAGCTTTTAACAGATCCATACTAATATTATAAAGCAAAAGGAACTCTATGCATGTCTGTCTGTTTTTCATGCTTAACCCGCTGAACCGATTTAGATGAAATTTGGTATGGAGATAGTTTTAGACCCATGATGGATAGTATTTATCCCAGAAATCGACCCCTAAAGGGGTGAAAAAGGCTGGAAGTTTGTATGGGGACTCAATCATTTCTCAAGTAAGAGATATAGAACTCATCATACCTATGTATATACATAATAGTCTATCAATTCCATATTAAGCATCAAAACATACCTAGAGATACGGAGCGAAGAGAGGGTGTGTCGCTATAAAGTTTGTTTTTAAATAAAGTTTATTCCCAATATTTTATAAGGTTATACTAGAAATATTTTTATACTCGACATGCATTTTATTAATCATCTGTAATTCATAATCCTAACCATAAGATTTTTGAAGTTATTCTTCTTTTGGCACATTTGGAAAAAATTATGAGAGTAAAATTTTTACGATGCGCGCGCACACCGACAGCCAAAAAGCGACATGATGAAGTTAGTAGTAGTTACCATAACATACAGGAAGAAAGTAAATTATAAGGCTCGAAAAATATAAATTTTACTTTTTAATTTACAGTGATGAAGTTATTGATAAAGATGATGAAGATAAAAAGTATCTAAGAGAAATAGCAAGCTGTAGAACTTGTGCTCCCTGCTATCAAACATCTTGGAGAGGATTTAAAAAAAATAATAAAAGTAAGTTCTATGCAAATATATAATATGCCATGTTGTAGGGATGGCCCATGAAATATAATACATAAACAGATTTTGGTACACCCACTATATAAAAATAAAATTTTATAGGCAATCACCTATTTATTTTAAATGCCGTTAAATTTCAAAAAATATCAAAGTTGTCAATAAATACCAATTTTCATTGTGACTGGTTTTGAAGTTAAAACTCTGTAGTGACATCTGTCGCAAGGGATAGTTATACCTGTGAACCCCTAAGTTGTTTCCCAACTCATAAAACAGTTAATATGACAGTCAGGAGTTCCATGCCTGCATGTCGTCCAGGTGTCTTTGTTACACAACTGTAGGGGTCAGTACACTGATAAAGTCAAATTTAGAATTACTTAAATGTTTTTTTGAATTTATATGATGCTCCACGGCATAGTATATTTATTAAAAACTTATGTTATAACGTTTAGTAGTGATTTCTCAGAGATGATATTTTCCTGCAGCAAAAAGTATCCTATATGTTGTCCCGGGTAACCAGCTGTCATCATACCAAATTTTATCAAAATCAGTCCAGTGGCTTTCTCGTGATTCCCAGATAAACAGACAGATATACAAGAACTCTAAAAACTATAGATTTGGCCTCTGTACCAATAATGACTATATCAATGAGATTTTCCAAAAAATATTTAAAATACAGATTCAACTTGGTTAGAATTTTATTATATGTATAGATATTGTAAATAGAATGAAATTCATTATACATTATCCAAAAAATAAAATGAGATTCCTTAAGATGTAGAAAATGATGTTTTTTATTGTCATTTACATATTTTTATTTTAAAATGGTTCTTTTTAATTTCAGAAAGTATTCGCTGTCAGATATGCATGCGTCCTTGCATCAGTGTGTATAATTTGTTGGCACATCTCAAATGCCACACCGAGCATGAGATCAAATCAAGTAAACGAGCCATTTCCAGAAGTTTAGCTTCGGTATGTATACTATTTAGTATTAATTCAAAACTTTTTATCAAGAACTATAGATAATGTTGCCTTAGTGCTTATTTGTTCAAACTATCAATACTTGTTTTATTCTACAGTAGAGATTTTTTCTTTTTAAAAATCTTTATTTAGAAGATTTATGTGTATATATAGATAAAATATATGTTTTTGGCTTTTTTTTAAGTTAAATGTGTATTTAATACCAATAGAGTGACATTTAAAATTCAATAATTCTATATTAAAAACTCTTTGGTGAACATTGGTCGTTTGGAAAAATAAGCACTGAGATTACATTAATATTATAGTACAGATATCCCTTACATACAAAGAAATTGGACAGTGTTAATTTTATTTTATTTTGTATATAAAAAAATACTGTAATATTTTGTCTGTAAACACACACGCACGCGCACACCCACACGCACACCCACACACACACCCACACACACACGCACACACACGCACTCACACGCACTCGCACGCACGCACGCACACAAACACACACACACACACGCACGCACACACATAATGTCGTCTATTAGCAGTTTTTTTAATTTCTAATAGTAAAAAGACCCCATGCTAATTCGTAGCAAAAATAACAAAAATAACTAAAAAGAAAAAAAATATTTTTATTTGTATTAATTTTTTTTTTTCTTTTTAGTTATTTTTGTATATCTGTGCTATGAATTAGCATAATATAGTATAGTGTAGTGTAGTATAGTGTAGGTAGAATTACCTACGCTTAAAATGACCATTAAATTGTTTTTTGGGTTAAAGGTATTCTTATTAATGTAATCTCTGTAGTACAAACGAAAACATTTAATTAGCATCTGTCTATACAGTAATCAAACAGATTAACAGAACAATCCCAAAAACTAATTGTACTGGTCGTATTTCAGTCAATTTATTTAAATAATTATACTTACACCCTAAACCTTCTCATGAATTACTTCATCTATTGGTGATTTTTTTTTGACTGTATCGAGTTCAGACAGACAGACGCGACGACGGGATTTCGTTTTATAATATGCTAGCGACTCACCCTCGCTTCACTTCGGGTTCTTCCCAAGACAAAAACAAATCTATCCCACGGGAACCGTACGCTGTTCCGGGATATATACATATATATCCTATAGCCTTCCTCAATAAACGGGCTATCTAATCCAAAAAGTATTTTTCAAATCGGATTAGTAGTTTCTGAGATTAGCGCCTTGAAACGAACGAACTTTGCCTCTTTATAATATTAGTATAGATAGTGATACTATAGCATTATGTTATTTGAATATGTATATATGTATTTCATAGATATATTTTTTTTTCAGGCAGTAGAATATCATTACAAATGCAGAATTTGTCAGGAACAGTTTCTAAGTATAAAGGAGTTGAGACAACATGTTAATGCACATAAAGGTAGATTTTTGTTTATTTACATTGTATTAGACATAATTTGATGAGTCTTTATCAAAATTTTATAGCTGATATTTTATGTAAGACGTTTTTAGAGTTCCGTACCTCGAAACAAAAACGGAACCCTTATAGGATCACTTTGTTGTCCATCTGCCTGTCTGTCGAGACCATTTTTCTCAGGAACGCGTGGAGGTATCAAGTTTAATTTAATATCAAATACTCAGGTCTACAATCCCTTGAATTTGTGAAAAATTCAGACTTCTAAGTCAACGCAATCAAAAGATACGGCGGTTTATGTATATATTGTATATTTTGACACTCGCATGGAGATCAAACCCTATAGGGTACATTCCATTGACCTAGAATCATGAAATTTAGTAAGAAGCAACATCTTCTAGCACAAGTAAAGGGAAAAATTATAATCCGAATTTATAGTTACACCACAAAGAATTTTTTTGCGATTATAAACTTATTTTTGTATCATGCTATTGATTATTCATTATTTTAGTAAAACTTCTTGTCGAATATTGAAAACATTTTTCAAAGTAAAGTTGTGGGTATATCAAATATCCTATAGGAACATAGGACAAAGAAAACTTTAATCCAGAGCTTATCTATACTAATATTATAAAGAGGTGAGTTGGTGAGTTTATGACGTTGTAGGGGGTAATCTCTGGATCTACTGAACCGATTGAGATAAAATTTGGTAACAAGATAGTTTGAGACCCCGGGAAGAACATAGGATACTTTTTATCCCGAAAATCATCCCTTAAGGGGGTGACAATGGGGATGAAAATTAGTATTGGGAAGCAAGCTAGGGACGAACCCGAGAGAAGCCAGGGTAAGTCGCTAGTACTATATATGAATAGTAGATTAAAAAGAAATATTAGACAACTAGCGACTCGCCCTCGCTTTGCTCGGGTTCGTCTCATAGTATGTTTTAACAGATACTATGGAGATCCTTCCTCAATAAACCGCTCTTCATTTTATTTCATTTTATTATTACAATTCTTAAATGATTTCCGTAAAGCCAGATAAATAAGTTCAATCGATAAAAAAAGATGTTTTTCATTTACAGGTACTGAGACATTTAAGTGTGAAGTTGGAAGCCATTATACAACGTGACGTTAAATCTTTTTTTTAATGTAAAATTATAAGTAATAAATAAACACATGTTGATTAAGTTGTCTCTTATTTAAAACGTTGATTGACTTTCTCCTTCTCTTTATTCTTTTTTCATTCTCATTTATATCCTTGACATAAGTACATGATATGTCAACAATAAATATTTTTTAACGTCCCACTGCTGGGAGTGGGCTTCCCTTCAATGCAATGTGGTTTAGGACATTGTCTTTCGAAAACTTGCTAGGTTCTTTCAGACAAACAGGTTTCCTCGCGATGTTATCCTTCACCGTAAGCCAAGTGGTAATCATGTTGGAAATTCATGAGAATATCAGAGGCGCGAGATTAGGCCTTAATTTTTTGCCCGGAACCCTGATTATTTTTCTAAAATAAAAGTAGCCTAAGTTACTCCTTATAACATCAGCTATCTAAAAGTGAAAATCCCGTCAAAATCGGTCCGGTCGTTTCGGAGATTAGCCGGAACATTTTTTTTTTCTTATATAGTATTATATGATCTGTGATAGTATATACTTTTATAATAATTTTAATTTAAATTATTATGCATTTATTAAAAAGCTGTTATTTCAACATTACAAACAGACACTTCAATTTTATTTATATATATATATATATAGATTAGAATATTTTATCAAAGTATTTACCTTATCAGCAGAACCCGCGTTCAATCTACAAAGAAAATGTCCTTTTTAATATTTATATAATCTATCTAATACCTTTAAACGAGCAATTCTTGTATATTTCTACCGGCGATCTCGGAAACAGCTCTAACAATTTAGCTGAAATTTGGTATGTGCGGGTATTCGGGGGTGAAAAATCGATCTAGATTAGTCTTATGTCTAGGAAAACGCGTGTTTCCGAGTTTTCATGCGGTTTTCTTACGCACGCATAATATGGTCGCTAATTTCGCACGCTCGGGCAAAAGTATCGTGGCCAAGCGGCCAAAACGTAAGATTGACAATCACAGGTGTCCGGGTTCCAATCCCGATCGGATACAAAGTTTTTACTAAAAAATTTTTAATTAAGCCAAATTAAAAATAAAATTGTATTTTGACCAAAAACTCCGAGCGAAGCTCGGTCGCTTAGGTACTATTAAATTATTTGGATATTGTTCATACAAAAATACTAAAATCGCAATTAAAAAATGGGAGGTGGGAGAAGGAGGGTGAAAAATACTTTACGACTTATTCTCATACCTACCAAATATACACAAATATCATTAAGATTGGTCGAGCCGTTTTGGAGGAGTGCGACCACAAACATCGTGACACGAGATATTTACATATATATATATATATATATATATATATATATATATATATATATATATATATATATATATGTAGATTAAACTATTGTCATATCTTTTGTACCTATAGTATGGTTATATGTTTTTCCATATTAAGCATGAATTTGAATTTTAAGCATGCACCTACAAAACGCCTGTGACTGTGGAGCTAAGTCATTTAACTATAACATTTTTCATTAATAATGATTGATTTTCTTTACAAGGTACGGAGGGTAGTTACTCCCTATTTATTGCATCCCCTCAATACCCTAAAAATCAAATACAGACGTATAAAGGGTTCATTTACTAACTTAATTTTTGACGTGGTTTGAACTCAATTTTTAAATAGAAGTACTGGGGCTTATATTATTTATCATTCAAAGCTTAATCAACAAAATCATATCACTTCAGTATTTTTTAAAATTTCGAAAAATTGCCCGAAAAATTCTAAAAACAACACTTTTCTATACTCCCATACAAAAGCTTCGTAATCATACTTAAAAGTCAATTTGAACTTTAATACCATAACATAAAGTTTAAGTGTTAGTGGAGAGGTTCCGGAAAGGCAAAACATTGATGGCAATTGAGTGACGTTAGAATCGTATAAATATTAATGTCAATATTTGTCAATATTATTAACAAAAAAAAAATTATATGGCTAACGCTGGCTAATAACTATATATATATATATATATATATATATATATATATATATATATATATATATATATATATATATGTCGTGTTATCCATATACTACGAACATCATCTTTGGTGGTTACTCATCTTGTGGGCGTTATCAGGGCTCAAATAATAAAGTATTCAGTGCTCAATACACAATTTAATCAGGGAAGTCACAATGTTATAAACTTGAAACGGTAATTCTAATTATTTAGAGCTAGCGGGTTCACAGTCACCGATCATCGACTTCCAACTACAATATCAAACATAACTCTCTATGATCCACCATGATCAACCAACGTTACTAAGCCACGTATCTCCAAAGAAAGTAAGTCGTGATGGCGTCTCGACCCCGCTCGAGAAATCTCTGCTCTAAATTCAAAATCAATTTAAAAGCAATAAAAAGTAAATTAATGAACATAGTGACTTTAAACAATAATAAGGTTTCATAACAGAAAAAGGTAACTAAATCCTACTCCGTCATATATATCTATTTAAAACGTACCTAGCGACGAACCCGAGCGAAGCGAGGGTGAATCGCTAGTTTTATAATAAAACTTAAAAAATATATTAGGTAGATTACTTGTCGTTTCCATATATTTTTTAAGTTTTCTATTAGCGATAGCGTTTGTAGACTACCATCTTCTCTAAGTCCTTATGCAGATGACAGTTGGTCTTGCTTCGTCTATCAAATATAAATATTATCAGATTTTAATGTTATTATAATCTACCACAAGCACGTTTACTCTCAATTTATTTTAAATTTTATTTTACAAGCACTTTTATTCTCAATATCAGAGTCGAAATCCACACTAATATGATACGGAGATTAAGTGTGTACGTAGTGGGTAATCTTTGTAATTACTTATCCGTTCTAAAAATTCTTTTACTACTAGTAACACAGATCATATAATACTATACTAGACTAGCGACTCACCCTCGCTCCGCTCGGGTTCGTCCCTGGGGTGGGGTTTGGGAGGACCACCCTTATCCTTATCACTTAGGGGTATGGAAAATAGATAGTAGCCGATTCTCAGACCCAGATAATACGCATATAAAATTTGGTAAAAATCGGTAAAGCCGTTTCGGAGGAGTACGGTAACTAACATTGTGACATGAAAATTTTATATATTAGACTAGTAAATACTAATAGCAAGCTACGTAGCCGTCGTGAGCTCCAGGCTATTTTTTATTCCGATATTAATTTTGTTTTAAATATTTCTATTTAGCTTTGGCTGTTATAGTAGACACTGTAATATTCTCTGTTTTCATGGTTGTTTTTATAATTATCCTATCGCTTCGCCCATTATTATCGCTCCGCTCGGATTCGTCCCTAGTTAACTTTTAACGTTTAGTATAGATTTCTCAGAGATGAGATATTTTGCTGCAGTAAAAAGTATTCTATATGTTGAACGGATAATCAGATATCATCATACCAAATTTCATGAAAATCCCTCGAGTGATTTTTTCGTAATGCGGTCACAGACAGACAAAAAATCTAAAAACTGTAGATACGGTCTGTGTATCGATAATAATGTCGATTTCAATAAAATCTTCCAAAAACTATTTATTATATAGAATTTCGGCTTACTTAGAATTTTATTGTATAGACTATATTACTTATCCCTGAAATAAAGAAATATTCTTAGGTAGGTATTTAAACTTTAAAGCGTAGATATTAAAAGTACCTACCTGAGCAAATTTGTTCAGATCCTTCAATAAAAGCAAGTAAAGTCACGTGCCAAAACTAGTTTTTAGTTTGCATTTCGTGTTTCGTCATAATTAAGTTGCAACCCCATATAATTTCGTAATTAAACTCGACCCCTATTTGCGACAAGTAATTGAATATTTTACTATGACAACCCTTGCTTTTAAAATGAGGGGGTAGTACCTACATTTTTTTATTCATACAGTAGGTACGCCATACGTGACGAAGTGGTCAGCTCTGGTTTAGTGAGATGGTTACTACAGGATCGATTCATGATTCGAGGCAAAAGGTTTTTATATGAAGATAATTAGTAATTGTTAAATTAATTTTATTAGCAAAAAATAATATTAGACTCATGACGTTCAGTAAAAAATTGTATTACATAATTTAATGTTGAATAAAATATTTTGAATTTGAATGAATTAAAATTTATAAAAAGTAGTTTTCAGATAACCATTTTTTCCTTTCTTTCTGATTATTATTAGGTTTATAATTCTATTTAAATAATAATAACGTCCACTTGGGCGACTTCGGCCACGGTCAATCTCACTGACACTCATTATTCACGTGGAGATATTTGGAGGACTGGAGAATGACATTGGCTATATTTTATACCGCGGGAAATTATTTCATTCTCAAGGGAAAACACATTATAACCTAACCTAGGAACGAACCCGAGCGAAGTAAGACTGAGTCGCTAGTACCTACTGTTATAAATACGAAAGTTGTGTGCATGAAGGTTTGTTCTTCACACTTAAACGGCAGAATGCGTTTAGATGAAATTTAGTAGGTACACAATGATACTTTGTCCTGGAATAACACTCTTATGCTATGGCCATAGGCACGGGAATAGATCCTATGTAGGATCCACACGAGCGAAGGCACTATTAAATAACAAATAGACTGTATGGCACAGATAACGGAACCCTTGATGAATCCGTCTGACAATTTTGTTACTTTCAATTCGGCTTTTTCGAATGAAAATCGACGCTAATGAATGTAATACTAGCGGCTCACCCTCGCTTCGTTCGGGTTCGCCTCTAGAAAAACAAAAACAAATCTATCCCAAGGGAACCGTACATTTTCCGGGATAAAAAGTAGTCTATGTGTTATTCTGATGTATGAGCTATACTATTGTAAAGTTTCATCAAAATCCATTCTCATCCTTACAAACTTTCGCGTTTATAATATTAGTAGGATACTTTGTATAAAAGTTATCCAACAAGATATAACTTACCCTTGTTTCGCTTTTATTTACATAAACATAACACGAAGGGCATATGGCGCAATATCACCCCATAATAT